AAATCTGGTCGGGAAAGAAGATTAAAACAATTTTCCGCCGCTACGAACTTGGCGCCTCGTTGAAAACCAAGTGCAAGTTGAGATTGGAAGTTGAATTAGATTTAACTTGGAAAGTCCAGCCTGTGGCAAAGTCAACGCGCGGGAAAATGGCTGGAAGTGACAATTTCCTCGTTTCGGTCACGATCCACCGTTGTTGAAACTAGTTTCCCTCCTCCTGTTTCCTTAATCCCCGCCTTTTCTTCGAGCCTCTTCCTGTCGCTCTAACCGGAATATCCTGTTCGGAACACGCACGTGGGATCTTGGGCGCGAAGCGAGAAGACCGCTTCGAAAGATAAAAGATTACCCTTCCCTCTATTGGTTATCAAACACAGCGTTTCTTTGCTATCTCTTATAATTACGTTTCAAAGGCGAGAGGAACACGCGTACCACTCTGTAACCACTCTGTAACCACCATCCTATTTAATATTATTAATACTCGTCTCTCGTCCTTGCGTAGCGTCTCCTTACGTTCCTCCAATTATCTCCCGGTTCAATCCCCTCCCCTCCTCTCGTAACAAAGAATAAATCACGAGGCGATCCACTCCGTTATCGATTGGCCGTCGTTCATTTATCGACGCGTGCTCTTCTCAAATAATATTATATCCGTACATATATATATATATATATATGCGAGCTGTGTATCATATCGCTTTGTATCGTAAATCGATGACGTTAATTAATAGGGACGAGATGGAAATTGATAACGCGCGGTGAACGTGACGAATCTGGGTCAACGGTGCCTGCCGCTGTCCACCTGCGGACCGTAATTTTCTTCTGGCTGAGGCGAGGGGCGCGCCGACCGTGCCGCTCTACCCTTTTCCGCTCGAAATAATTAATATACAAGGCACGGGAGAGCGATCCGTGGGGATCTCGGTCGAAGGAAAGCTTTTTCTCTCTCTCTTCGAGGGAGGCCGACCGAGCCTCCATGAAGTGCTAATGCGCTTCCGTAAAGACCTGCACGCTGTGCTCGGCCCTCTTCATAAAAAATGAAAGCGTTCGCCAGCTTTTCCACCCGCTCCCTCTAGCCAGCTCGCGATTTTAACCGGAAGGGAAACGTTGAGAAGATCTGTCGGATATAATTTAGAGCGTTTGTATACGTAAAATACGCGACTACGAAAGTGTAGCTACGAAAGTAGCTTGGAAAAAGAAGAAGAAGAGGAAATATTTTAGGAAAAATGAAAAATTCCACGTTGGATTGATTTCGTTGTTTCATTGATCGGGGAAGCGTTTCGAAGAAATTCTCTTGGATTGGACGTGATCGTTATCCATATATGAGGAACAAAGCGTGAATTCGCGTGACGATTTTTCAAAGAGGGAGGGTGACAGCGCCGTGTAGTATCGTATACTCCCTCGCGTTCTTTTTCGTTCACGCGACACCATCGGCCCGCCATAAATTCGCCGGGGGCACAAAGAGAAACGAAACCCAAGAAGCCGCGCACCGTGCTTTATGTCTCGCATCACGCGACCCACCGATAACATTAACGAACCAATCTCGCCGCCTTTCCCCACCCTTTTTCCACCCTCTTTTGAAAACGACGGGGGACGAAACTTATCGTTTCTTTCTTTCTTTCTTTCTTTCTTTTTTTCTCGGCTATTCTTTTGCCTTTACACTACGCTGTTCATTCGTTCGTTCGTTCTAATCTTCTTCTTTGGCCCACTTTTCCTCGTCCCGGATGACGTTGGCTCGTCCTCTTAACAACGTTCCTCGAGCTTATAACGAAATCATCATCATCGTCTGTCTCGACGTTTCGTCGATGGAATTTAAAAGTCACTTCTCTTCGAGGTAAATAGTTTTGTTCCTCGAAGGATAATCGAGAGCTCGCCAGACGCGGTCAACTTTCATTCGCAAACGTCTAAGTGTATTTGGTTAAACGATCCGTCGTTTTAGAGAATTCTAAGAGACTCGTTCGTTTCCTCGAACTGTAACGAGTTGAAAAAAAAAAGAAAAGAATAAAGTGAAGCTTGTTAAATTGCTGCTCACAGGTTCTATCAATTCGCGGTGAATCTTCTTTGTATTTCCACTCGAGGTATCCAGTGCTCGAGAGGGATTCGATTTGAATTCCAACGATACCGCGACGCACTCGACATCGAATACCACTCCGCGCAGACGTTTTCATTTGACCGTTCAGTCTGCTTCTTCTTTCTTCCTTTCTTTCTTTCCCTTCTTTCATTCTTCCTTACCAACTGTCACCTGTTTCAACCGAGATGACTCCAAGTACGCACGAATTCCCATAACGAATGCGTTCTCTCTCGATGACGACTCATGCCCGTACATCTTACTTTTACTCTACTACTCTTGAAAGAATTCTTCGATTCGAAAGAATTTACAAGGTACAGCTTCAAGAAATTTAAGAGAAATTTCTCGTTAGCTTTCGAACAACGATCCCAACGAATCGTTTGATCTCGTAGATCATTTTAGGGGTCACTCGTTGAAAGATCGAGGAGGAAAATTTTCGTTCGTTCGTTCGTTCCTCCTTCGAGGAAAGAAGAAAGAAACATGGGCGAAACACGAGAGGCCACGATTTTCATAAGCCGTTATTGCCGAATCGGAGCGAGTCGAGGGAGAAAAGAGGGAGAGCTTAAGCGTTGACGACAGTTTGAGAGATTCCCCGAGCATCCCGTTTGCGGCTAATGTACCCTTCCTTCTATCCCTCCGTCGTAGACGTCCTTTCTTCTCGAGTCGAGCCGCGACTTTAACGCCAGAGGAAATCCGCGCCTATCCCTCCCCCTCTTTTTTCCAGGAATCCCCCTTTTCTACGTGTCTCGATACCGTACCACTTCCTTTCTTTCCTTCTTTCCCTCCTTTCATACCTCTCTCGACTTTCTCCCTCTCTCTCTCTCTCTCTCTCTCTCTATCCTTCCCTCTCAACGCCAGATGCCACTAACCGTGCACCCTCCTGATGAGATCCTCTCGGCTGCCTGCTTCGGCTTTCTTTCCCCGAGCCCGTCGTCGAGCCCGTCCTCGCGACTCAATTCTCACGCACGACCAAGACCAGAAGGCCCGCGATCGAACGTCTCGTTCGACGCCCTTTGCCCTCGCCCTGCTCCCCGCCACCCCCGTATTTGCGGTTGTATTTGCGTCGTCGACCCAACGCGTCGCTCTCCCTCCTTCATCACCGATGATTGGCAAGCCTGCTGGCAGCGCTTATCTATCGGTGGAAAACTCGCTTCGTGTAATTGGAGGACTTTGCCTATTCCCTCTCTCTCTCCCTTTCTCTCTATCTTTTGCCACAGTACTAGTGCATTGCCACTGTACAACCCCCGCTTTTCGTTTGCTATAAATGCGCAACTGGGCACCTATTATTTACCGATCAACCGTGATACATCGGTACACTCGTTAACACTCGCCCGTACTCTCCACTCTGCCCGTATATATACATCGCCGACGCGTGCACTAAAGTATGCACCGCGTTTCGAACGGCCCTCGCCACCAGACGGTTTCGCACGTTTCACCCGTGTCAATTGTCGAGCGACGATGAATCGTTCTCTCGTTAACCGTAGGTAGTAGGCGGGTTATTTGATCGGCGGCTGGCCCTTGTTGTGTAAACGCACGCGCGCGGTTCCGTGGACGCGAGATAAATTTGGGGGAGCGGAGGGGGAGGGGAGGGAGAAATTTTGGAGCGCGTATAACGGGATAATAAGTTTCGTTTCGCGGCACGCGCGTCGCGGAAACGACGCAGGCGTCGCCGTGGCCGGCCCGGCCGCGGTGATTAATTAAAACGGAGGTTAATATACGGGTCGAGGCGCGGGTTTAAAGAGCAATTCATAGTGTCCCGGGGGTCAACCGCGGGAGATACTTTTTAGCCGGTTTTCAACGGTGGAAAGAGCGAACGGGCGCGGGGAGTCCGATTCTCCGCCTCGGTTTAATGGCCCGCCCTGCTAATTCCGGGGAGACTTAAATCACGGCCGCGTATCGAATGAATTGCCCATTATTTTTGCGAACAGTTGCCGCGGAGAGAAAACAGACCTCCCCGCACGACTCTTCTGGGACACCGGCCGAGGAGATCGAGTTTTTCGCTAGCTTTCGTCCGTTTAATGGAACTTGACCCTTTGGCACGCCTGTTTCGCTCGGTCGAACCAGCAACTCAGACCCGCGCATTCGGTGCGTTCGTAAGATTACCATAAGATAATTACTCATAAGATAAGATTACACCTCATAAGATTATACGTGAAGGGCTTAGGAACCTATTTATGAAGCGATATTCTAAAAGAATCAAAAAATAAATAAATATTATCGCCGTTCAAGTTGCCGCAACAATTCGAATGCTGACTCGATGGATCGTGGAACGCTCGAGGTGTTAGCGTTTTAATTTTGATTCGTTTAATTTAGATTTAAATTTAGATTCGAGTATAATTTGGTATCGTTTAGTGGAAGAATCAATCGCCGGAGGAGGAAACGTCGGTTTACCGTTGAAGATTGGTAGACCACGGGAATATGTCCACGTCGTGGCGGAGGAGCGGCGCTCGTATCAATCTTTGACGGATCAAGCAAGTTTCGTGGTACCGCTTAAGTCCATGGTATCCATTAAACTCTCGTCAGCCAGGCATCCAGCCATCGGGCTATGGACTTGAGCAACTTTGATGGAAGTTTTCCCGCTGGAAGGAAAATTAGATGACGGCGAGATACCGTCGTGGAAATCTCTCTCTTCCCTTTCGCTTCTCGATATCTCGTCGGATTATGAATATTTCATTTTTTTCTCCCCCGTAGACGCGTCTACTGCGCTCTTTTCATACCCAAAATCCAACATTTACGCCGAAATAGATGCGGAGCGTACACGAATCGGGACGATTCGAGATTTGGAAGATCGTCGTTTCGATCGAATTTTTGCGAAAGAAAAATTGAGTTGAAAAGAAAAATATTGTTCTCGACAAGTTAAAATTTAAATTAAGAGAAAATTTATTTTCCATCTAAAAGAAGAAAGAAAATGTTAGCTGATCTTTCTCTTCTTTTTTTTTTCCAGCTCTCGGAACTCGAGCAGCGAGTGTTGGAAGCGGAGGGTCGAGCCGACGAGGCGGAGGACAAGGTGAGAATAAATTACAATCGTGGAGAGATCCCTCCTCCAGTTTTTCTTTAAGAGATACAACAACCGATCGTGCCTCTCGATTCTCGACTCGTTAACGTTTCCTTGAGCTCGTAAATAGCAATTCAGGTCGATGAGAGAAATCGAAACGCTAGGAAATCGGTTCTGCCTGTCTGCTTCGATGTCGTTGTTCACGAGCGCCCGATCGATTCCATGTGTAAATGATCACGCCTGATGGCTATTAACGGGACGCTGGTGTCGCTCGGTTAACGCTCGGCCAACCAGCTCCAAGATACCAAGGATAAATAATTAATTTAGCGAGTGATAACGACGTCTTTCTAGCGAGACCTTCCTTCCTTTCCCTTCGAAATGACTCGTCCCGGCCGCTCTCTATATATATATATATCGGGTGTTGCGTTGTAAATTGCGTCGTTGGAAATTGTTCGAAGAATTCGTTTAAAAATAATTTCGCACTTTCTTCATCGCAACGAAATTGCACGAAAGATCAATTCGTTTGATCGATCGAGAGAAATGGTGTATATAATGGAAACAGCAGTGCGGATATGTGGATACCTTTGACATTTTTAAAACCTTGCCCCCCGAATCTTTGCCCCGGGAAATTTCTATTTTGCGAGACGTGAAATTCAGTGAACCAGGTTAATTAGAAGTTCGTGCATAAGTTGCGAAGTAGAATATCCATATTCCGGTAGAATTAACGTCGAGCCCGGGCTCTTACTACTTGATCCTCCATCTATCAGCGTGGACGAAAAATTAAATCTTTCCTCCCTTGGGGGGATTTATTTAAAAGGGCGCGTCTCCTCTCTAACGTTTTTAGAAAGAAAGATTTAGCGATTGTTTTTAAACTTCGTGTTTAAACTTCGCAATGAATTTAAAAAAATGAATTTAAAAACGAAGAGTCGAGAAAAGTTGGAAAATTTTCCAAAAATATCATCGATACTGCGTTACCGACCAGGGAATTCTCTATTCGGAGGGTGAAAAACCAGGCCAAGCTGATCTATCGTCTCCACCGAGTTCCTCATCGATTTTCTCCCTCGACCTTGCACCCCCATCGCTTGCCCTTTACCGACGGATACCGGAATTTCGCATACGCGATGCGACCCTGACTTTGTACCAACAGTAGGCAATTTCTCTTTCGTCACTTCGCCGTCTTTCTTTTTTTTACACGCGCTGCTCGATCGAACGAGTCCATTCCCATCGAACCCCGTATAACCACCTTCTTTCCTTTCGATCAACGTTAATTCCTCTCTTGAGTTCTCGGGGGGGAACGATTCGAAACGTTATCCACAGAGCGTGCAACCTTGCCCTAGTTTTCTCTCTTAATATTCGCCACTCTTCGAACCGATCTCAAATCTCAAATTCGTTAAATTTCCCTCCTCGAACGATTCTTCCTTTCCTCAATTTCCAAAGCGTATACGCGAATTTATATATTCGGGGAAGGGGAGGGGGAGAAGAAGTTTCAAGTTTACTCTCGGGTAAATAATAAAGAAAACGGGTGAAAAAGTGAAAGTTCGGTCGGTACACCGGAAGATCCGGGTGTCAGGGCGCATGTTACGTCGCATTGATTTTTGCTGGTTCTGGTGGCGCGAGAAAGACGCGAGGAGGGGTGCCACGGGGACGGGAGAAAGACGACCAGCTGGGACCGGTGATGGACAAACGAGGAGGGAGCATGAAGAGGCGAGGAGAGCAAAGAGAAAGAGAGAAAGAGAAAGAGGAGGCGACAATATGGCCGTACGACCGGCCGGCAACACGGTCGTTTTGTTATGACCTCGAAATTCGGAGGGAAAAATTCGGGCGTTGTGTGGTGATCCACGTGCATACCGCCGACAGATATCTCGCGATCGTCGTTGCTTCTCTCGATCCTTGCTGGTGGCACCCCTCGATCGCGACGGGGAGGAGGATCGCGGCCGGGGCAGCGGCGTTGACCAACCACCGCGTTCACGAGAATTATGGAGCCCGGCAGGTGACACCGATGAAAGGTAAACCTGTCACGACACGCTGTGTCCACGCTATATACTTATATACCCCCTCATCGATTTCGTTTTAGTTTTTGGTAGTTAGCGCCTTCGAGGCAACGATTGACGTCGATACACTTGTACACTTGTCGCGTGCACTGTCCTTCGTCGTTCTTTTCGTTTCGTTTCATTCGAGCCGATTTTCTCGTTTTTCTCTCCTAAAATCATATATACGTATATACGTTTAATACGTGTCGTTCATCGTAAGTGAGAATTCTTAACTTGGAACACTGGTGTGTCCGTCGATCGGCGTGTAAAGTAATTTTCCTTTAACGGTACAAGGGAGGATGATAAAGATAAATGGTCTATCTAAGGGCGGAGCAAAATCGACGACGACTGTTCGATTCTTGGAATCGAAAGTTTAACGAGAAGGGTCGCACGGGTGTTTGTGCTTGAATCAGGATTGAATCGAAACGAGATCGAGGCAAGTGTGAGTGGACACAAAGTGTCGCAAGGGAAGAGACAAGAGACGAAGAGGGGCTTGGAGGAAGCGGGTCGACTTAACGACCCGCTTTGACGGGACGTGTCGCGTATAGAATTGGCTTAACGCCAATTCATGAGTAATCCTCGTTTCCCGTGAGCACCCGCGCACCAAACAAAATAAAGGTACGCGCACCCGTACCCCTTTCTTTCTTCCCCGCGCACAGTTCCTTTAAATATTTCAAAGCGTTTGTGGCGCCGGACCCGTTCCAATCTTGCTGTTTCTTCTCCCCCTTCGATCTCCTCCAGCTTGCCCTTCAACGGTGTTCTTTTGACCCATCGCGGACGTAACTTTCTCCGTCTTGCGATTCGCATCGTTTAACCCTTCCACTTTGTTCTTACATTTTTTTTCTATTATAATCTTAGAAAATAAAAAAAATACGCTTTCGAGAATTATTTTTCGTGCGTTTGAGAACGAAAATTGTTTCGTAGTGAAAATAGAAGAACTTGAGAAGAGTTCGGCAGAATTTCACTTTCAATTAAAATCGAAGATAATTGTAAAGTTTATCATTCGAGTATCTTTCAAATATTTTTTTTCGACGCGTCACGAAATTTTCATTTGGCTTTACTCCGAAAATTCTTCAATCTTCTCCGTCATTCACAATTCCTCATTAACGTGGAAATGCGCTCGTTACAATGTCGAGCCCTTCAGTCTCGACTGCATATTTCTCACGCGTTCGTCGGTCGTTGATCCATTTAAGCCAACCGCGGTCGTCTGTTCCCTTTTTTTTTTCTTTTTTTTCTCTCTCTCTCTTTCTGTCGTCTCCCTCGAACGAACGCAGCTGAATGAATGTTTTTGCGTGTATACGTGCACGTTGCACGGGTTGCTTTTGGCGGGAAGCCAGCCATAATTCGACGATGCACCCGTGAGAGGTGATACCGCTTTGTCGCGTGTACGCGCACGTGCGCCGAACCATCGTGAAAAGATAAGGGGACCAGCCTCTCCAATGGAACCCTTCTGTTCCCCACGATCTCAAGCGCGTCCCCTTCGTGAAAAAAAAAGAAAAAAGAAAAAACAAAGTGGCCTTTCTGGCCATTGAACCGTACTCCAAGATATCCTCCAGAGAAAACGCTCGGGATTCAGAGTTTCGTTAGATGCATCTAATATGAAATTTGATATTCCCTCGAACATTTCGATCCGATATCAATAGAATATTATCGTGATCCAGGAGGAAGTTTCACAAAAAAAAAAAGAAGAACGTGAGAATAATTGAATGGCGGAAAGGAGATGTATGAGATCGGCGCATGAGATTCTAGTTATTTCTAGGCGTTTCGCTTTCAAGCGGCGAAACGAATCGATAAATCTTTCGGATAGAGTTCGAACGTGTTCAAGAAATCGTTCGAATCGATCGAATGACGAACTCAGTGTACCCGGTCGTTGTTTCTGAATTACACAGAACTCCAGCCTTCCAAGTTTATCTCCCTCCTTCCGAAAGTCTTTCGAAAATCACCGAGCGTCGAAAAAGACACGGTCGAATTTCACATTTAATCCATTTAATTTGTCGAATTCCTGATATATTCCCAACTGCACACTTTTCGTCCACGTTCATCCCTTCAAAATTAGAAGAAAAATTCTTCGATCCCTTGGATCAATCAAATAATTTTACAATATCTCAATAGAATATCTCTCTCCATCCCGAGTGTAATTAACTTTCATCTCGGTTTGAAGAAGAAAAAAAATTCCACGATCCCTTTTTTTCTTCCCTTCACGTTCGTTCGTGTTCGCGATTCTGTTGGATCGAATCAACGACGCGAAAAAGTCCGCAGTCGGAAAACTCATCCCTCCCATAGAGCGTAGCAATCGCTAGAAGACTCGTCTCGTGAACGATCGTCCATCGTGTAGAAACGTGTCGCGTGGCGAGGAGGAGCGAGCGCAGGCCTGCGAGATACAAACGTGGAAGCAGATCGATAAATCTGAAGAACGTGGACGTGCAACGTGGCCGCGATCGGATTGTGTCGCGTTTTCGTTAGTTTTCTCCCCGACATGTTGGAGGCTGGTGCGTATCCGGCGGAGGATCCGAAGAGAGGAGGCCGTCTGTCGTCGACTGTCGGCCCGTGACGTTACCCAAGGGTGGCGAGTGTGCACGCACCAGAACCTCCACGAATTCTGTCATTGGCTGTGAGCCAACGTGACTCATCGGGCGCAGGAAAGGCCCGTACAGTTTACGCGCATTAGTTTCGTTCAGTTCGGTTCGATCATCGACAACGCGAGCAAGTAGCGCATCCCTCGAGAAGAGGCTGGCTGCGATTGTGTATCGTAGCCGGGAAGGGAAATCTCGTGGCTGGTCCTGTCCTCGTCCTCGTGTGTGTGGGAGTGTCCTCGAGAATCGTGGGAGAGCCCTCGAGAGGAGAAGAAGGAACAAAGGATTTAAGAAAGGTCGTTGGTCGATTATCTCATCGATCGATTATCATGGCCACTCGTAGCTCGGGTAAGGGGATCATAGTCTTCTTTTAAATAGTTTCTTTATAACAGGGGATAATTAAAATCCGATCGATTTTTTTTGAAAAAGTTTGCGAGGGGAAAGAAAAGTGCGAATAAGTCGATTCATCGTGTACGATTTCGCGTGTGATGGTTTTTAATTGTACGTGAAGCGATACGGCACGTGGGCTAGATGCAATTTACAGTGATACAATATGTGCGTGTGGAGGAGCGAAGAATGCTGAGATATCTGGGAAGATAATTCGATGGAATGACGGTGCTATTAATACTGCTCTGCCAGCGTTGTCTCGGTGTTGTCTCAGCTTTGTTACTCATCGTGCGAAATAGTTGCAACTCTTGCTTCGATCATTATCCTAGTTATCATTATTAAAGATAAGAAAAATTCGTTGTATCTTTTTATTCTATTCTTTTTTTTTTCTTTTTTCTTTTTTTCATTCATTTTCCACGTTTTTGATCTCTTTCAATTTCTTTCAATTAAGATAAAACAGAAGGCAGAATCAAGTCTTGATGAAACCGCGGTTCTTGACTCGGTGAACAAGGACGACAATGAAAACGCGGAGGGTGATCGATATGACTCGCGAAGCACATGCACTCACACGCGGTACAAGGAGGAAAACATTGGGCCAGAGGATTTCTACGTTGGCGTATTGATTTTCTCGATATCGCTCTCCGTCTCTCTCGTTTCACTACCGGTTTACCGGACGTACAGAGTGCAGCGCTTACGTATCCACATTGTGTAAACGTGGATATCGATTTTTGACAGCTGCTGCGAAACGAGCACTGCCATCATCGTGCCAGAAAAGGGGCGCACGAGGTCCACACGCAACTCGCAACACTCGCTCTCTTTCTCTCTCTCTCTCTTTCTCTCTTTCTCTTCTCCCTTTCTCGTTCTCCCACTCTCTCCACTCGCTTTGTCATCGCTGTTTACTCGACGATCTCACGCCACGCGTCTCCGCGACTGCCATGCTTCTTCGATCGTACCGGAAATGTGGTACGCTCGCGTGACGCTTTTCGAGCCGAAACGAAATTCATAGAATCTGTCCAATTTTTCCAGTTGAAAAGTACCCTGTTCCAGAGAAAATTTTATGGATACGGATCGATGCGTGGGTTAGTTTCGAATCGAAAGAGAATATTTGGAGGAAGGGAAGTAGAAACGGAAGTAGAGATTATCGTGAATTAAAAAATGAAATTTAGATAAAACGATCTGTAAAAATGAGATTGGTACAAGATCGTAATATGAATAAATTTGAAATGGATGATCAATTTGTTAAATAATGATTGAATGAATATCTGTTACAGGTACGGATGATGGAGGAGCGGCTAGTGAAGGGTGAATATTGCTTGAGCACATCCGGCGTTGGTTCTCCACCGCATTCGCTGCCGTCGACTTCCGGTACGCAGAATGACAAGATCGAGGATGTCCATTGTGCTTGTATCTCGAAGCTAGAGACACAGGTCGAGGAACAGGTAACGATGAAAACGATTGGAATCGAATGTTTTCTACGAAGAAAAACCACTTGGAATCATTCTCCAAGAGATTGGAAATCCCCTCTCGACCCTCGATAGCGTCATCCCGTTACTTTTCTCTCCGAGAATTCGCCGAGCGGATCTCGTTTCACGCGCTATTTTGCAGAATAAGTGTTCCGATAACGTGTCGCGTTGCGTCACGAGAAATATGATAAAACGATTCACCGTATCAAATCTCGGGCGAGATAAATCGACGATTTACGAACGATAATTATTACTTTGCAGAGGCAGTTGCGGCTTCAAGACGCGAGACAGGTCGAGGCGAAAGCCGCGAGAATAAAAGAATGGGTGACCAATAAGCTGAGGGAATTGGAACAGCAAAACCAGCATCTAAGGGAACAGAATAACAAGTGTAACCAACAGTTGGAGTTACTGAGAAATCACATAACCAACATCGGCCTGAAACCACCTGTAAATTTTTCATTTCTTTTGTATCTTATGTTTTATCGATTTTTCAAATTTTAAAAATCTTTTTCAAGAAAAAAATAATTCCTTTCTTTCGAAAAGATACGTCTCTTTCTCTAAATGAAAAAAAAAATCTATTCTAGGCACCCACGAGAGCGTCTCTGTCCTTGGAAGTAGACCCGACGTTACGCAGACGATCGGAAAGCTTGGAGGGAACACCGCAAGCTATACCGGAAAGCGTGCAGAGCTCTGTAGCGGAACCACAAGCCGGCACCAAGCACCGAAGACACCTATCCGCTTGCGGAACTATACAACGAGGAATTACAACCACCAACATGGACTCAAGGTAGAATCTCGTCGCGACGCTTGCTTCGCGCTTTATACTTATTATATACTTATTATACCTTGATACATATGTACGTATACACCTCGCCGCTTATTCTCGTAATTCTTTCGCTTCTGCTTGCGCGCCGTTTATCGGTTTGTAACGTCGCGTAAATGTGTCTCGATTCTCCTTGGGAGGTCTCACGACGTGATAGCGGCGCCCGACTCTCGAAATTGTGGTACCCTGTAACGTCCTGAGACTTCCTGCGGGGATCTGTCGACCCAGTTTGTCCTCCCGCGTTGCGATTCGAATATTTAAAGCTTTTTTTTCTTCTTCTTCTTCTTTTTATATATATACATATATATAAAAAAAAATATATGGTTGCATTCATTTTTCCTTCTTATTGGCACGTATAGTATATCGTTACGGGCCTATTGCTGATCGGTATATTTCTATCCAAGTGATTTGAATGCGGTTGAATTAGTTCCGTGTTTTATTGCTTGCCGTTCTTTTTCCATTCTAGCTTACTGTCGGAAGAACTCGCTGCGGCGGTAGAAAATTTGGTGATGTTGCCGAATATACCTGGAGTCTCGGAGACGAGCAGAGACAGCGGAAGTTCGGAGGCCATTCACGATTACGCGGAGATTTATACACCGAGTAGAGAAGGGATGAATTGGGCTCAAAGCGCGCAGGGCCCTCGACCGCCTACCCCGCCTTTGCACCGATTTCCTAGTTGGGAGGCAAAGATATATCAAGTAAAGGATCGTTTTATATCCGTATTGCGAAATGAATGAGTTTCGTAAGAAACAAAATTGTTATAATATGTAAGAAAACAGAATTTATATTTTGCAAATTCTATTATAGGTAGCGGATGGTGGGCTTGGCATCGGCCCACCTACGAACGAGGAATCCGCACCTTCCACGATGACCAATACGACCAGCTCGTCGAAACATTCCCAAGCGACAGGACACAACTTGACTGCCCACAATTCTCAAGGCTATTGCGACATTTCAGTTCCAGTCTACGCAACGGTCAAAGGTAAATCTCTATTATCTTTTTCTCGAATAATGTTAATTTTCAAAGATCGAGTTTTTTTTATATATCCTTTTTTGATTTTTAGGACGAGCCAGTCAAATTAGATCCATGCCTTTTGGCGACAGTTCTGACGACAGTTCGGATGGCGAAGAGCATCCTAATCAAACGGAAACCAATACAAGGATCACCAATAGTTCATCGGACAACACAGACTCGTCACTTGGTAGCGGAAGTAGTCCGTCGAAGAGCGTTAAAACTACAAGCAGTCTTAGTCCCGCCAAGAGAAGCTCCAGCGGTTCTCCTAGCAAAAGCGTGAAACGTGGTAAGCATTTCAAATGTTATCCACAATTTTTAAATTTTGCATTTGTGTACATCCGACAATTTGGAGATTATCGTGCTTGTAGACACCTCTCTGGAATCTGGTTTATCGGAAGATTATGCGATACCTCCTGATGCTCTTAGCTCTACCTCCCTTGAATCTAGCATGCCTAGTTTGTTAATGCGAGTCTCTGGTGAGAGTCCAAAACGACAAGAATCGTTGGAAAAGACAGGCCATCTCGCAAAACTCGGTGGTAAATTGAAAACTTGGAGAAAAAGATGGTTCGTGTTGAAGAATGGAGTGCTCACATATTGGAAAAGTCAAAACGATGTAAATCGAAAGCCTCAAGGTCAAATTGTGCTGGATGAAGTGTGCAGGTAATTATTTAAATATTCCTATTTTTCCTTTTTTTAATATTAAAGTTATACAGATAAATAAATAATATGACTTTTTCAATAGGATAAATAGGGCGGAAGGTGCGGCCACATTTGAAATAGCAACAGGCAAGAAAACGTATTATTTAACGGCAGATTGTATCGCAACGATGGAAGATTGGATAAGAGTTTTACAAAACGTACAAAGGCGAAATGCAACGAAACTTTTGCTCAGCAAAGAAGATAATAAGCCTACGATACAGGGATGGTTGACGAAAGTGAAGAACGGGCACGCCAAGAAATGCTGGTGCGTCCTCATCGGAAAAATGTTCCTTTACTTTAAGTGCCCTAATGATACGGTAAGCCGTCGATTTTAGAACGCATCATTTAAAAATAAATTGTATAAATATTATCGATCCTTCTATTTTATTTTGCTTTTAGAATCCTATTGGACAAATAAATATGAGAGATGCTAGAGTGGAAGAGGTCGAACACGTGTCCGACAGTGATAGCGAGGAAAGGGACGCTGAATGTCCGCATGAAAGAACGATCGGTATTTTCCCTACTCATCAAGGTCCTACATACTTGCTCATGCCCCATAAGCAAGATAAAGACAATTGGTTATATCACTTGACGGTGGTATCCGGAGGTGGACCTAATGCAGGAACTCAATACGAGCAATTAGTGCAAAGATTGATGGAAACCGACGGGGATCCTAGTTGTGTACTCTGGAGACACCCATTGTTACTACACACAAAAGAAAATATCACTAGTCCATTGACTAGTTTGACGTCCGAAGCCTTGCAAACTGAAGCCATCAAGCTTTTCAAGGTAAACATGTTTAAGAATACATAATTTAAGAATATCATATATCGATAACGTTACATATAGAAAAAAATTATGAAATCGATATTTTTGTCTCTTTAGGCTTGTCAATTGTTCATGTCGGTGGCAGTAGAGCAAGCAGGCATAGACTACCATGTGGTATTAGCGCAAAACGCATTGCAACAATGTATAGACCAGCCTGAATTACAATCTGAATTCATATGTGCATTGGTAAAGCAGACAAGTCGTCACACTCAACACCGTTTGGGCGTACAGGTAAAAAAGGCCGCCAGACTTGTGTCGCTGGGTACTGCGCGCGTTGTAAGTCCTGCTTATTGTTTAACAAACACTCTGAACCCTGTACCATTTTTACAGCCGACGTACATATATCGCGTAATATATAATAAATTTTTTATCTATTGGCCGTAACGTTATTATTAATAGGGATTTTAAATTTACGATATATTTACGACATATATGAGCCGAAAATATTTTTTTGAAAAAAAAAAAAAAATAATCAAAATTGAATATACGTTTTCTGAGTAATCAAAAGAAATGGTACATCGGGTACGCTTAGTCAAGTATTATACAAAATAATCTTATTAAAATAGCGGTGAACTGTTTAGTTATCTTTATTCTTTTTTTCTTTTTATAAGGTAATTAACTCATAATTAATAATTAATAAAACTAGTTGTTTTATTTTTAAAACCAATATGTATTAATGACTATTAATAATGATAACAATAACAATAATAACAATAACAATAACAATAACAACAACAAGAACAATAATAATAATAATAATAATAATAATAATAATAATAATACTTGACAAAGTATTTAACAAAGAATGATTTTAGTTTTAACATTCATTCACATTTCATTTTCATTTGCTGCTTTACATGTGCTCTTCCTAGGCTACTCTAAAATCGCATGCATTTTTTTCGATTCTTCGTTTTTTTTTTTTTTTTTTCATAGAACATCGTCATGTTAAGTTTATTTTATTTTTATTGTGTATAAAATTTATACATGATACCCGATCACCTTGTACCCTGATGCCCTATCATGTGAGCCGAACATATTTCGACAATTCATTCCTCTCATCAGAAAAAATCAATAAAACTTAATATTTCATCAATCAAATTTTCACTTTATCATCGATGCATTATCGGTTGATTAAATCATTAATAAAATAAAAATAACATGATTTCGGAATTTGTCAAAATACGTTCTGTGGCACACACACTTGCAGAATGGTATGTTGGTGTACATAAAAAACCACACACAGAAAAACATCTTTTTACTAGATTGATTTTTTGTTTCTTTTTCCGTACGTTTTTTTGCTCGATAGCTCATTACAAAATATTCTCTGTTTTTTGAATGCTGCTTAGAAAAATTAGTCTTTGATTATCTGGTCATTAACGATTATTTAAAAAAAATAATCTAAAGAAGAAAAAGAAAAGAAAAGAACAGTAACATTTAAAAACTCCTTACAGATTCGAATATCGTAGAACGCGATTAGATCGATAATTTCAGAAATTATTATGTCGTTAAGTACAGCTTCGAAAATATTAAAAAGAAGAAATTTCAATCTAATTCATTCGTGACAAACGAATGAGAAAAAAATAGTTTCGAGCTGTAAGGTAGACTCACATGGCCTAAAAAATACAAAAGCGCTTCTTTCATCCACATTTCTTTTAATTCATTCGACTTATTACAGTTCATGCGTTTTATGTGATTAACATACATAGAGTTATGCGTTAATCAGTCCGATTTCGATTGCTTACATACTAACAGACATTATATTATGTCGTGTAACGAATAGAATGTTTCATCAAATCTAAAAATATTCAAATATTTATGCCGAAAATTCCTCGTATAATTTAAGATGGATATTAAGAAATCGATGAACTGCAAGAATACAAAGTTTTTTAAAATACATTTCCTTGATTGTCCTGATAAAATAAAGAAAGCAATGAACGGGGACAATGGAGCGCGACTTATTAAAAAAAAAAGAAAAAAAAAAGTAGTAGATTAGGTCTGGTTCAATCCAGGGATATAGTAGTATGCCAGCATACCATTACAGCAGCTCCTTCTCTGCGCCACGCAATCGCTGTTCACCTGCGATACGCAAAGTCCCGCGGCAAATGGCAGCGGTGAAAATGCGGACGCACAATCGACGGCCTCCACTTCTCACAGTCCTCCGCTCATGCAGGGCCATTCGACTTCTACGATTTTGGACTGCAAAACTAATCCCGCCCAGTACGTTCTTATCCAGGGATGGCAGCTGCTCGCGCTTGCCGTTTCTCTATTCCTACCAAGAAATAATCGATTACTCTGGTACCTGAAGTTACATTTGCAAAGAAATGCGGATACCAAGTAAGCGTTTTAATTAAAATTTGGATTTTAACTTTAATTAATTTTGAATATAATATATAATTGAATGTATAAATTCTGTTAGAACGGAATGCGGCAAATATGCAGCTTACTGTGAAAGAGCATTGGAAAGAACGCTTCAAAATGGTGGAAGAGAGGTGAAGCCTTCGAGAATGGAAGTTCTATCAATATTAATGAAAAATCCTTACCACCATTCCTTACCACACGCGATACCAGTTCATTTTTTGAATGGCACGTATCAGGTTGTAAGCTTTGATGGTAGCACAACAATAGAAGAATTTCTAAATACTTTAAATCAAGAAATTGGTTGCCGAGACGTTCATCAATCAGGTTTCACGTTATTCAGTGACGATCCGATTGAAAAAGATCTTGAACACTTCATTGATCTTCAAGCAAAAGTATGCACTTTAAAAAAATTCGTAAATTAGAAATAAGAATTAATAATAAAAAAATTATAATAAAAGAAAATATTTTCATACGCTACTTTTTATCATTTCAGCTTTGTGATATAATCTCCAAATGGGAAACTGCATTGAGAGAAAAGGGTTCGGGAAAATTCGAAAATACCAGAGTAATACAATTAACGTATAAATCGCGATGTTATTGGAGACAGGCAGCTAAAATGGAAACCGATAGAGAGAGACTTCTTCTTTGTTATCAAGTAAATCAACAAGTCGTACAAGGCAAATTTCCGGTAAATCGAGAACTTGCATTTGAACTTGCGTCATTAATGGCACAGGTAAAATTATAAATAATAACAATTGAAATAATAACAAAACTTTGAAATAATAACAATTTTTTTAATGAAAAAATAATCATACAATGATTAAACGCTACAGATCGATTTTGGAGAATATAACAATGATAAAGCTCGAGGGAGTGGCCCAGGAAGTAATCCGCATCATTTGGTGCTTCAAGCTTTGGATAAATTTTATCCCGTACGATATCGAACAAATATTACTGCCGAACAATTGAGGCAAGTGTTTTCTAAATTAAAAGAAATTATTAATAAGTATTATTTATATTTAAAATTATGGATTTTTATTATTATAGAGAATTGCAAGAGAAATTGCAAGAAAAGTGGCTTGCATTAAAAGGTCGCAGTGTATTAGATTGTGTACGCATATATCTAACTTGCACTAGAAAATGGCCTTTCTTTGGAGCTACACTTTATCAAGCAAAGGTTAGTAATATTTTTATGAATAAAAAAGTAAAAAAAAAATTATTTAAACACATTTGTCTCAGTTGAAGCAAACTGAACCAATAACCGTATGGATAGCTGTTTCCGAAGATAGTGTTACACTATTAGAATTGCAAACAATGGCAGTGATGTGCCGTTACAATTATGCGAATATAGTTACATTTGGAGGATGTTTGGATGATTTCATGCTGGTTGCTTGTTCTGATGAAGGTGCAGCTGAACAGAAACTCTTGTTTGCACTTTCGAAACCTAAGGTATATCAAAACTAAAAATCAAATTTAAAAAATCAAATTTCTAAATATTAAAAATATCATTTGATTATATTTGTGCAGATTTTGGAGATAACATTATTAATTGCCGATTATATGAATGCCTTGGGACACACTTTACCTGGTACTCCACAAATGAATACATTAACTCGTAATGGATCTCACAGATCCATAAAATCAACCCTACGACCCACAACTGGTTTGTAAAAATCTATATTTTTATGTATTTCGTTTTTTTATTTTTTATTTTTTATTGATGAAATGAAAATTAAATTAGGTTCAGGCTGTCTTCCAACGCAACCAGATATTTTAAAATCTACGCCAGATCACCAAAGACCTTAAAAAAAGACTGGTCAATGGGGAAAAAAGCAGGGGAATACAGCACTTGATTCATGAAAGTCTGATCCTATCATGGCACTAACTTTATACTCGAAGATACTACAGGCTGTATTATAAAAATCCGCGTAATGATATTTTGGACGACACTCAGCAACATGTGCGCTGTAGTTGATTTTAGTTGCGTTTTGTGTAAATTAGAAATGATGCTTGATAAACATTTCTGTGTACATATCTGACAGCATGCAAAACTTTGTGGTCCACGTTGCGCGATTTGAACGTGGGTGACTGAAATTAATCGAAAACGATTTTGCAACACTGCCTAAGTAAATTAGTATATCTGAAATTACATCGAATAGTTTCATTGAAAAAGCTAAAGCATTGTGCTGAAACTTTTTGCTACCGTATTTATATACCAAATTCAAAACATTTAGCATAAGATAACTAAACAAAAGTGGTATATTACATATGTATATAATTAATCAGAGTTACTGAATGTTTAGAAGTCTAGCACTGTCTAGAACTTATGCAGCGATACTTTTGTCTTTAATGTAAGATTATATCGACGAAATTTTTATTTTTTGTCAAATTAATTGCAATACAATAAGCTGCAATTAATTTGCAGCTATGAACAAAAAAAACATAAAAATATAAAAATTTTCAGATTTTTAATGTTTTATTTAAAATAACTGTACTTACTATAATTGTATATTTATATACAATACTTCGATTATATTATTCATACGATGATTTATTTTAATTCTAAAAATATCATATAATCTTTTATTGCATCTAATTATTTTTTATATATTTTATAACTCATAATTTCAAAAAACAGTAGAAAGAGTAAGTACAGATAATATTAAATGTAAATCTAATTGAATTAAAGCTCAATCAAAAAAAAATTTTTCATCAGAAAGTGACATATAGAACATATTATCATATTATTTTGATAACAGCTAGTCTTATATTTTATATTTATTTAATGTTTAAACAAATAAGTTTGTTTTATAAGGACATGACCAAATAGATGTAATGGGAACGCATTTTTTTTAAATAATTAATATCGTTCCTGCGATAACATATGTGCAACATTTTTGTACCAATTAAATAATAATCCCTTCATATATAGAAGTTTTGTACTTGCTTGATGTGTCCTACATAACTAGCAAATGTCTTCCTTCTCTTTAGTATCCAGAAATAAATAAAAGTTGAAAGTAGGGCTTTCGTGCAATGTGTACAAGACTTCTATACTTTTATAATTCCTGAGATAGGCTGATATGACTGTGCCTCTCTGAGCAGTATAGACAAAGTAATTTTATGCACGGCTTTGTTTAGCGCATTGAAGATTTATATAAAATAAGAAACGATCGAACCTCAGATTACTGGGAGCAGTACAAAGATATGCAAGAACGACATTTTGTCTTTAATTTTTATAATACGCAATGAAATGCTATCATTTAGGTGCTTAGCACCTTTGTATTATGATGCAGTAAAAAGAGTCATTGATCTGTAAATATCACTTAGATTTAAGTTTCTAAATATAATAGAATGAAAAAATGGCAGCTGATAAAGGCTACAATCATAGTAGAAATTTCCTACGATCGTTTGGCTGCTACGGAATATTCTACTGAGCCTACCATCTTATATTTCTATTTATTATTTATTCACATAAAACGATGCATAAAGGCACGAGCGGTGTACGCGAAAAGCATTGTACTATTGTACAGGAAAAGAAATAAACTGCTCGGATCTATACTTTAAAAGACTATTTATTTTACATATTATATTAAAAACTTTATCACAATAATATTTCTTAAATTTCCCATAAACCATAATTTAATTTATATTAAATCCATAATAATATATTTACATTATTCAGTCTATTTCTTCAGGTCTTACAGGATGAGTTAATGGTATTACTGATTTTTTCTTTACATCTCTAGATAGTGCCTTTCTCATATCTAAAAAAAAAATATATAAAATATTTAATTTATAATATTTAAATAAATCTTTTACAAAAAAAAGTAATATTTTATATACCAAAAGCATCTTCATCTGGATTTCCATTATAATATTCTAAAACAGTTCTATATACAATATATCCCAATTGCTGATACATTTTGATTGCTACTTTATTACTAACTCTTACAAAGAGATCTACAAAATATGCTTGTTTCCTAAAATAATAACAACATATATATTAAAATATACAAAATATATATTAATAAGTTTTCATTAGACTTACTTTTCTGAAACCTTCTCTAAAAATTCTATTAACATTGCAGCTAAACCTAATCTTCTATAATTAGGTGAAACTGTAAGAGCTGTTATATGACCATGCCAATTTTCCCCTTGTCCTTCAGCTTTTCCCATAACTTCAATATTAAAAAAAAAATTTGTGTTCCATATTCAATATTTATATATATATATATATATATATATATATATATAAAATATTTTAATTACATAACATAAAAAAGTCTTACTATAACCCATAATTTCTCCACTTGGTGATTCTGCTACTTGAAAATATTCTGGCCAATGTGCTAGATAATATGTATAAAAAGAAAGTCCATACTAAAAAGCTTAAAATTAAGAAAAATATATATAAACATATAATTAAATAATAATCACGTAAAATATTAGTTAGAATGTAAAATATTTAAAGGATACTGTTTCTGTCAGAGGATCTAAATTTCTATAAAAAGTAAAAATTTCATAAAGTTATTAAAATAATTAGTAAATAATACTTTGTATTTATTATCTCATGTTTAGGTTAAAAGTTTACTAATAAACAGACAAATATTTTAATACTTACACATTGTTAAATTTGAACAAATCATTACATGTAAAAGGTCTAAGAGTTGTCATGTTTTAAAAATTATGAAAAATTAAATAAATAAATATAATTTAATATGAAGACACTATCAATTCCAAACTCAGTCACATAAATGTAATTTACTCGTTTAACGCTAAAAGTCGCCACTGCATCACTGGGAAATTCAAAATTTTAAATTTTACTTGAACTACATATAAATTTATAAATATTAATAAAAATAACAAAAATAATATAAATATAAATAGATATATATATATTTATATATAGTTTCTAATATACTATAATATACATATAATAAAAAATAATATAAAAAAACTTTCGCATACAATTCGAAAATTTTAATTTTATTAAAATTCTTATAAGAAAAAGATACAAGCAAAGTATTTTTGTAAAATTTAGAGAACTTAAACTAAGTTATTTTATTACATTTGTGTTTTTATATAATATACTAAATATAATATAGTGAATTAATATATCCTAAATATAATATAGTGATTAATATATAATCATATTTAAGATGCAATCAAAAACATGTCAAATTGAATAAATAATTTTACGATAAAAAATACAAAATATAATATTTATTTCTGCATTGCACAAAAACGATCTAAGTTTACTTTGAGCATTAAGCGTATCTTCTAAAAATATCTATCTAAAAATATCGCGAAATATATTAAAAATTTATTATGATTTTATTTTGAAAAGTATTATTTACTAGTTAAATCTTTTTTTTTTTAATTATATATATTTTAAAAAATTTGTTGCAACAAATACGAAATCAAAACTTTCAATCTTTTACATAAGATAAAGGTAAAATACTAAATAAAAATTACTAATATAAGATACAAATATTAGCATACTATAAAATTATAATATTTTACAATTTTTGAATACCACTAACATTTTAAGAAAAAAATATAACATTTTGAATTATTATTTAAATATAAAATATTATATATATATTCAAATAATAAAAAATATGCTTCAATATATAACAATAATAAAATTTTTGTTTAAAATATAATATATATGAATAGTAGTAGTCTTTTATAAAAATATCCTTATGAGAGCAATTAATAACAAAAATTAAAGCACAACCAAGCACAACCAGGTTTTCATTTTTGTTTTATATTACTCTGTGCTAAAATTCTGTTAAAAAGTATGTCGTATAAAATATAACAATTTTTTAATATATTCTATAATTAGTATAAAAACAAATGCTTAATACAATAATCATAAAATTATAAATGTATTTTCTAATAAATACATTATGTTTTTAATCATATCATTTCATATTATTGAAAATATATGAAATATATGAAATTTGATATTTTAACTTTTTATATGAAATGTATAGTATGTTGTACTTTAAATCTAATATAGCTAAATATTTTAAAAATATTGGCTCTTATAACAGAGTAAACATTATTATGCAATTAGCATTATTTTATTTTCTTTATTCTTAGATTCTTAGATTTAAATAAGAATATTAATCGCAATTAAATATTAGCAAAATCTTAATATATATTTTTGTAACATTTTAAACAAATTATTTATTTTTAATTGAGTAATTTTAAATGCACTGCAATTCTGATCCAATCCAAAAACATAAATTTTATTTACAAATTTAATAATTTTTTATAATATAATTGATAATATTTAGGATTTTGTTTTATTAGGATATTGTTTTTAAAATTCGCAATCAAGACTAGAGCTATTTTATCATAGTATAAAATATTCGTTTAAAAAAATAATAATATTAGTTTATCAAGTAAAAATGCATTTGTATATAACTAAAAAAACAAGAAATTATTGAATTTGCAAATAATTTTTTGATTTAGTTTTTTTCTTGCTCTCTATTTATAAATGATTTGCTTGCTTTGACAACGTATGTCTATATATTTTTATATTAAATGCTAATATCAAGAAATATTATAAATATTCACGTGTTTCATTGTCACAATGTTTTTTTTATATAAATTTATTTGAAACTTCCATATTTTTTTAATATAACTATGTATCATGTAAAATTAATATTCCCTTAAATAAATCTACACCTATTATTTGATATCTTCTTTTAAATTTGTTATACAACTATATTTTATCATAAAATTCATATTCATAATTTATATATTTTTTGAAACCTTTCTTATTGATAAGAATCACAATAAAAATTTAATTACTACGATTATTTCAAAAATGGATGTCCATTTCATGTTAATTATTTTTCTGATCCATCAATAGAATCTAAACATTGCTTTCAATTTGGGCTATATATTTTACTTTATAATAACCAATTAGGCAGCATTAAGGACACGTGTCTTTAGTAATTCTATTACATCTACATACATGCAATTATAATATATGTCATATATGCTTTATTTTTTTTTTTTGTAAAATGATGAATATCTTAAAAACTAATTGTAGGCATTGATTTGACTATGAAAATTATGCATAAGATTTACATATATATATATATATATATATATATACATATATATATATATATATATATACAATTAATATTGAGATTTGTCCGCAGGAACAAGGCACAGATGACATATCGTCTTCTTCACTGAACAATGTTATAAGTAGTTGAAGTTTAACAATAAAATACACATCTTAGTTATTTTGACAGAGTTTAGAAGATATCATCTTTATTTCTGCCAAGTTTCAAAACAATTCACGTCAAATTTCACATCTACTTTTTTTTTATAGAATTACGAACTTATATAAATTTTCTATGTAATTTAAAAAATTATGTTTATATGATTGACTTTTCGCATTGAAAAATACTTTTTTTTTATTATATATCACAAATAAATAGATATTCTTTGAAATAGTATTCACTATCACTGTCTTGTCACTGTCACAAACAGTAATAACAATTTACTATTACATTTTACAATTCCATTTCAAAATATTACTTAAGATATCATATTACAAAACACACGTGTAGGATTATTATGAATATCGCCTGAAATGCTGCCAAGTCCTCCAGACAGATAATTATATTTAATCATACCTATATCTTTATTTAGATATAAATATAATTATTTATATTTAGATATTTATATTTTTACATTTGTAATAAATGGAAAAATAAAAAATATATTTAATGAAAAATGTTTAAAATGTCATGTAATTGGTAGCATTAGATATTCTAATCCAATCAATAAACATTAAATAATTTTTTTATAGATAATATTTAAGTATATTTTTATAGAGAATTTTTTATGAAGAGCTTGAATAATTTTTAAAATATAATATTTCAAAATATCATAAAATTCTATATATTTTCAGAAATTTAAGCATAAAGATATGATAGAATTGATTGAAATTATTTTACATTAATAGTTATCCAAATAAAATAAAAAGGAAATTAACTTATTGATTAAGAAATGTATTACAAATTTCTTGTACCAAAAACAAATATTTATATAAATATTTATCTATAATTATATATGAAATATAATTATAGAAAAATAGAAATAAACAACTTTCTCGAATTAATTTTTTTAGGAAAATATCCCAATATTATATAAAGTTGACTTATTATAATGTAAAAAATGCTTGAAATTATATATATATGTGTATATATATTATATATATGTATGTATGTATATATATATATATATATATATATATATATACACACACACATGTATATGATTAATAAAATAGGCAAATGATGATAAATAAATGTAGAGTAATGAAATTAATACTTGCAATTCACTTTTCGTGACATTCTTGGATTATAAACATTCATACAATCATTATGTTACAATCCATACGTTCGTTAGTTTTGTTAGTCAACATCAAGAATAATATTTGAGGCAGGAATATTTTTACTTTACTACATTATAATTTTACTTATGTTTGAACGTAATTTCTTGTTTAGCATAAAATGCTTTACCAGAAGCAAGATAATACATACGCAAACATATTATAATGTATATAACTAGATGTTATAAAAAATAAATGAAGGACTAGGAATCTCAAAGGATCCTGATGGATCTTAGAACCTTCGTTGGCAGGCGCTTTTGTGCCAAGAAATGTTCCATATTTGTAAAAATTTTCCAAAAGTGCTTCTTTTTCGACCCATCTATCATATAACCATTTAGATAATAATTCTGGTTCCCGTGGAACCTAAAATCAATAATGCAATACAAAATTCCTACAGAAAATATTATATATATGAAATAAAATAAAATAAAAATCTAAGTTTCAGAACTCACCACTGAACTAGGAAAAACTCGGTAAAATAATACTGTTTCACATGGTGGACGTGAACCAGTTATAATTGTTGGTAAATCAAGAGGTTTACCTTGAGGATATGCTATTGTTATATCAAGAATCCAATTGATTTCTGGTTTAGCTACCATCATATCTATAAATTTATTTTATAATTTAATAATTATTTTTAATAATTACTATTTAACATTATTATTAATAATATTAAAATAATGATATAACTAAAAACTTAAAATTATTTACTTGGTCTATTATTCAATTGTTGTTCTGTTGTATTATATGTCTGTGATGGACCAATTGTATCAAATATAGTTTGCATTGCTCCTACACGTGGTAATGTTACATTCTCAAGAATTGGTAAATTATTTTTTTTAGCATATTTTTGTGATGTCTCTCGTCTTTTACATAAGAAACCTCCTTCTGGGAAAAGCACCATCCACTTTCTGTCTAATGGAATATATGATTCTTTCAGATGTTTTTCTAATTGTTTTAAACTCTCTTCTCTTTTTTTACGACCCTAAAAACAAAATAGCTTTATTATATATGATACATAAGATATTAATGATAAATTAAAAAATCAAATTCACTTACAGATATTATAAAGAAATCTTGATGTAAAACAGAAACAATGCCAAAGTTAGTAAATTTAAAAATTCTATCCATAATCCACATCAAATTAGGTAATACATTAGGTTTAGCATTAAATGTTGTCATTAAGATAGGAACATCACCAGTACTTTGATGATTTGCTATTACTAATGTTCTTTCACTAATAATTTGTTGTATATCATCACCTTGTTCTATTACTATAAATTAAAAATATTCATTATTAATTAATAATATTATTATACATATTATATAATATTTACATATTAATTTTATGCTCACTATCATAACCTGCAGACCAAGTCCACATTGATACCATTGCTAATAGCCAATGAAAAAATAATCCTTCGATTCTCCAATATACTTGTGGTTGATAAACTTTTACAGGGAATAATAATGTCATCCATACTACATATGTTGGTATACAATAAATGTTGTTAATTATCACAAAACTGGTTCTAGCAATACATTTTACAAAAGTTAACACATTATTGATTACCCTGCAAATATAAATATAATCTATTCTATTAAATTTTTAAAAGTTTATAAGAATATTATATATTCTTCTTAATAATATAACTGAAACACAAGTTAATATAATAATATTTTTATTAATATTTTTTATATAAATATTAATTTACATAAATAAATATAAAAATATCTTTTATTTATAATATTTTTTATTTAATAAAATTTCAATATATAATTAAAGTAAAATTATTTATTGTATAATAAGATAATATTGTTTTTATTTTTAAAATTTTAATATTTTTTTTTTTTTTTTGATTACAATATCATATTATTATACAATAATATACAATATACAATATTAAATTTAAAGTAATGTTATTATTAGGTATAATATAATATAAAATTATTAATTTTTTAAAATTATTTTTTCAAAATATAAACAATTTGTAAATTTGAAATTTAATTTTTTTAGAAATTTTATTAAACAAAAAATAACTATAATTAATTTATATTTATTGTTGTTCGTGTATAATGACAATTTATTTAAATCAAGATTCCAATTTAAAATGACAATTTGCATACACATGTTACAACGATTAACACAATAATTTCAAATTATTGAAAAAATTATATTATTTGAGAACATGAGGCCGGCGTGACATTATAGGTTAAGGATAAAAGACACATTTTTATTAAATTAAAAGCTGAAAAATAAGTTGATTGTAAAATGATTTGCAATTATTAAAAGATATTTTTGTTTATTAATATAGGAATTATAGAAACAGAATATAATATATTTGATAAAATATATTTAATACTATTTTACTTACCTCATAAAAGTAGAAGAATAAGAAAAGTCAGTCATTTTCGAAAGACACCACTTGCAATACGAACTCGAAAAATTTTTAACCACAATTTTTTGAGCATAGCATTCTCTTTTGCACAAATTACATAAAAAAAAATCTTCAAATAGAGTGACACGTAAAATCCGCGTGCTGATTACATGAAACGAAAATCTTAATAAAATCTTATTAAAGTGTTAAAATTCAATAAGTGCAATCGCTTAGTTTAATCATTGAATAATTGTTTTCAATATTACCAATTATAATTGACACGTAGCTAATAAAATAAAATCGTATTACACAAATTTATCGGCTTATTATCGACTACCATTTAGGTAACGTTTTTCAAGAATACACCATAATTTTGTAACTTTTAATATATGTAAAATCACAGCACACGTAACATAAATATAATGGCGACGAAAGTTAACAGACTGTAAAAATGCTACATAATCTCATCAACAATGATTATACTATTAAATGATTGACATCATATTGGCAATCGAAAGTAGAATAATTCAAAAAGAGAAAAATTCAATGTTTATAAAGCACGTTTGAAAGCTCATGTTTTTGGAAACAATAACAATAGTTCTCCAATCAAAATGTTAAAATATCAATATGTAAATTTTTTATATTATTCTTCATACATTTTTATATTAAAATATATCTAAAATAGTTTTTACAAGAAACATTTCACAAATAATCAGTCTTATTATCATTCAATTGATTATTTATTGATATTTTTTTACAATATTAAATAAACTCAATAAACAATATGAACCAATGAATATTATATAATATCACTGATTGTTTATTCTTAATTGCAATAAAATCCATATGCTCACTTAGTTCACTTAGAATCTATCTAACTACGGTATGTTTTATGCTTAAGTTTCACCTATATTAGTTGCTCACCTACATGCTTTTATATCCCTGTACATATTCTAATCAACGTTAGTTATTCTTTCGTTTTTAATCGTTTAACATTTTAGAGAATTGTTTTAAAAAATAGATATAATTGAAAATTAGTAAAATGATGTTAAATCTATTAAAATGTTTATCGGACAATCATGGATTATTAGAATTAAAGAAATCATCGTCATTTTTAACATTAAGGCTGTCATTGAATACATCAGTAGTTTCTAAATGCAAGAAAAAGGTACAAATCTGTCATATAAAATATAATTAAAAATATATTTTCAATAACAAATTTATAAATTATGATTTATCATTTTATCTATTTATTTTCGCATTTATTTCTTTCAATATTCTTACCAAAAATTTTTTAATTAATTGTAGAATATTTTTACGTAATCACTTAAGAATCAGACTTTAAAATAGTTTTGAAAAATATTAAAAAAAAAAATACTATTTTATTACATATAATTTTACTAAATTTTTTTTAAATATCATTTATAATATAACAATTGAATACGTTTGACATTTAATCTATAATCGTGCATGAAGAAAATAAACGATTTTTTTAAAACAAACCAAAAATTATCGAACAAAATTTATAAATGGTATGAAACAAAAATTTTTATTTAAAAAATTAAATATATATATTTTTTAAATTATTTATATATATGAATAATAACATGTATCTTTTATTTTTATTATATTTTATATATTTTATATTGCATAGTTATATATGTATATATAATTTTATATTTTAATTTTATATATATATATTTTTTTCATATTTAATTTATATAGCATATAAAAACACATTTGAATATTCACATATATTGATATATTATATAATATTAACTTTATAACTAACCTTGAATTCCTCAACTTATTCTATTGAAATATTCTGAAGCTATATTCATTCAGTTCTCTTATATAAATTAATATTAATATGGTATATATATTCATAATTTTTTCTTTTCAATAAATAATAAATAAATAAATAAATTTTATTTATATTAATGTAATAAATTTTAATTATAATTTAAGGAATCAGATGGTGAATTTCGAATTGAGAAGGATACTTTTGGTGAAGTGAAGGTGCCTGTTAATAAATATTATGGAGCCCAAACAGTGCGATCAATGCAAAATTTTCCAATAGGTGATAGCTTTGAACGCATGCCTGTAAGAAAATTTAAAATTGCTTTTATTTCAATCTAAATAAATAAAATTTTATTATTTAAAAAAATTTTAAGATAAAGTTATTATATGTAACATTCTTAATTCATATCTTACATTTATTTAGTATGGTGTTATTGTTGCATATGGTATATTAAAAAAAGCTGCAGCTGAAACAAATAAAGAACTTGGAATGGATGCTAAAGTAGCAGATGCTATTAGTCAAGCAGCAGATGATGTTATATGTGGAGATCTTTATAATGAACATTTTCCATTAGTAATTTGGCAAACAGGTTCCGGTACTGTATATTTTCTATTAAATGTACATATTTATCAATATTAACATATACTAACAAAATATAGTATAATTTAATTTCAGGAACTCAAACAAATATGAATGTTAATGAGGTATTTATTGTTTTAACAGCAAACATTATTAAATAATTTGAATATATTTGTAATCATTTTATTAATTTTATGTAGGTAATTTCAAATCGTGCAATTGAATTACTTGGTGGTAAATTGGGATCAAAAACACCTGTTCATCCAAATGATCATGTAAATAAATCTCAAAGTACTAATGATTCATTTCCAACTGTTATGCAAGTGGCACTTGCTTTAGAAATTAATAGAGTTCTTCTTCCTGGTTTGGAAAAATTATATAATGCATTAAATGAAAAAGTTAATGCATGGAAACATATTATAAAAATTGGTAGAACTCATACTCAAGATGCTGTGCCTCTAACATTAGGACAAGAGTTTTCAGGTTAATATGATAATATTTTTATATTTGTTATAAAATTATCAATTTTAATAATAAAAATTTAAAAATAGGTTATGCACAACAAATTTGTAATGGTATTCAAAGAGTGAAAGATACTCTTCCAAGATTATATCAATTAGCACTTGGTGGTACTGCAGTAGGAACAGGATTAAACGCACCAAAAGGTTTTGCAGAGAAAGCAATTGCAAAGATTGCAGATATTACTGGTTTACCATTTGTACCTGTTGTTAATAAGTTTGAAGCTTTAGCATCTAGAGATACCATAGTAGAAACACATGGAGCATTTAATACAGTAGCAGTTTCACTTATGAAAGTACATTAAGATAATATTTAATTTTAAAAAAAACTTATATTTTAAATAATTTATTTTACATTATATAAAATTTTTATATAGATAGCTAATGATATTCGGTTTTTGGGAAGTGGGCCTCGCTGTGGTTTAGGAGAATTATCTCTTCCTGAAAATGAGCCAGGAAGTTCTATAATGCCTGGTAAAGTTAATCCAACGCAATGTGAAGCATTGTCTATGGTTTGTTGTCAAGTAATGGGTAATCATACTGCTATCACTGTTGCTGGAAGCAATGGTCATTTTGAATTGAATGTATTTATACCTGTAATGATTTCAAATGCTTTAAGATCTGCGAGATTATTAGGTGATGCCTCTGCATCATTTACAAAGAATTGTATTGTTGGTCTTAAAGCAAATGAAGAACATATTAAAAAACTCTTAAATGAGAGTTTAATGCTTGTCACTGCTTTAAATCCACATATTGGTTATGATAAGGTATTATAATTTTTTATTAGATTAGAATTAATTTATTATGCTTTTACTGTAATTAATATATAAAAATTATGTTTTAATACAGTCCGCTAAAATTGCAAAGCAAGCTCATGCAGAAAATATCACGTTAAAAGAATCAGCAGAGAAAAATGGTATAAGTCCAGAACAATTTGATGAATGGGTAAAACCTGAAGAAATGATTGGTCCTAAATAAAATTAATCAACAAAACGAAATCAAGTTAACATTTTTTATTAATAACTTATTATAAAAATTTTTTTAATATGTGTCATATTTGTGATATAATTAACATTATCGCGTATTAAAAAAATATATAAGTAAAAATATAATTGAAAATATAATCATATAAATCATATAAATTATATGATAGGTATTCGTATCATTTCAAAAAGTCATAGATAATAAATAATAAGTATTACAACTGAAAGTAGTTTTCAATTTAATAAACAAGATAATATAGTTTATAAATTGTATGAATATATCTTCATTTATCTCATATGATGTCACATTGTAATATAACTTTTGAGGGTTATCTTAAGGGTTATATTACAAAATAATATAAAAATATAAATTAATCAGTTATTTTAATACATTACACTTTACATGTTTTAAATTAAAACGAAATTTTTCATTCTTTAAATGCCATTTTGTTGTGGATCTATTTTTAAATTTTTATTAATTAAATCCAAAATGAATTCATTAAGAAAAATACAAAGTGTTATTATTAGACTAGGAAATCGTTATTACAAAAAAGTTGGAATTATTGGAGTACCATTTGAAAAAGGCCAGGTATTATTTTATGCAGTATAAAATAATATAATATGTATAAGAATAATGAAGTATTAATAAAAATATAGCATAAGAGAGGTGTAGCACAAGGTCCAGAAGTAATTAGAGAAGCTGGATTAATAAAAGAATTAGAATTATTAGGTAATTATTATTATTTATTTTACTAATTTTGAACAACTTAAAACTTATAAGTCTAATATATATATTTTAATTCTAATATACATATTTTTAAATTAAATAAGGATTAGATGTGAAAGATTATGGCGATATTTTATATGAAGCAAAAAATGTAACTGAAGTAGATAACATGACACACTTAGGTGATGTTGCTGGTTGTACAAGCAAATTATCTGAACAATTTCAACAAGTTTTGAAGAAAGATCAAAAAGTATTAACTATTGGTGGTGATCATAGTATAGGAATTGGAAGTATAGATGGTCATGTTAAGGTATAATATAAAAAAATAATACTTACTGTTAATATTATTTTAAATAAATAAATAAATTTTATATAAAATATATAATTTTATATTATTTCATAATTATTTTTAAAATTATATTTTCTTCTTGCTATATATATTTTTATATATATATTTATATTTTATATATATATTTTTATTTTTTGTATATATATTTTTATTTTATGTTTTATTTTATTAAAGAAAAAAGGAGATATAGCTTTAATATGGGTTGATGCTCATGTAGATTTAAATACAAATAAAACTAGCACTACTGGATTATTTCATGGAATGTCTGTAGCATTATTAACTTCTGAATTGGCCGATTATTGGCCACATCTTCCAGGAATGGATTGGCAAAAACCAATGTAATTCATAATTATATTATAACAATATTATCGAAATGAATAGTATAATATATTAAATTATAGGCTGTCTATCAGAAATGTAGCTTACATTGGATTAAGAGAAGTTGATAGTTATGAAAGACTAGTTATTGAAAAATTTGGTATTACTGCTTTTGGTATGGAAGATATAGAAAAATATGGTAATATTTTATAATATAAATGTTTAGTTAGTCATAAATGAACATTTTTTAATCAATCATTAATATTTTTTTATTTTCTTAAGGTATTCATGATGTTACTTATATGGCATTAAATAAAATAGATCCTAATGATTCAAAATCAATACACGTTAGTTTTGATATTGATTCATTAGATCCTTTGGAAGCACCGTGTACAGGAACTCCTGGTAAATTTTAAAACTTTCATAAATAAATAATATTCAATCTAATTCTTAAACATTCTTATATTCTAGTACGTGGTGGATTATCATTGAGAGAAGCTATTCATTTAATGGAACTTCTCTATAGAACTAAGAGATTGAATGCATTAGATATTGTAGAAATAAATCCTTATATTGGTAATGAATATGATGTTCAACTAACTGTTGGAGCTGCTATACATATTATTCAAGCTGGTTTTGGATATAGTAGAAGAGGTCTTAGAGTTCCAAAAGGTGTTACAGATATACCATTACCAACAAATAAATTAATTAAATAAATTAATTATATTTATATATCATAATTTTATAATATTAATTATAATTAAAATGTCATATTAACTCTTTTTTGAAGTTTATATAGTAATATGCTTTTGTAAACTTTTAAACAATACCAGAAAAATATAAGAGAAATACAAAATAAAACAATATATTTCATTGTTATATCTGTTCATGAATTATAAAGATTTTATTAGGAACATCATTAAATTCAATTCTACTTTTTTTATCTTGATTTCATTTTTGTCTGACTCAACTTGATACTCACAATTTAATTTTCCTTTAGTATTAATTCCTTTTACATAAAGACTGAATTTCTTAATATCACTATTTTCATTATTAGATTCAGCTTTTATTTTTCCTTCTTTTATCGGTTGTCCCAAATGTTCAATAGTCTTCTTATGATTATAAAATATTTCCAGTGCGCTTCTATATACTAATGTTCTTCGAATTCTTTTATCAATATAATAATTTAAAGTATATCCCATAGTTGTTATAAGAATACTTCCGCAAAAAGCTATTTTTGCTAAATTATGTACCGAAAATATCTATAAAAGACAAACGTAATTTTTGAAATATTATTTTATTCTTTCTTTTTAATCTTCGTCATGTGAAAATCTTAGATTAGGTTTTATTAAAATAAGTTTTTATTAAGTACTTTTTTTAATACTAGTAAAAACTAATAATTATAATTTATTATATAATTATAAAATATATACTTAAAATATTGAGAAAAGGATAGAGAAATCAGTATTTTATTAGTAGTGTCATCTCTTTGAAAAATATTCAAACTTCTCATCCATTGTTATCGATAATACAGTAAACTTGTTAATAGTTTTTGTTTAGTGGCGTCATCTATCAGGAAAGCATTGAAATTTCTTGCGCATTATCTAACAATAAGTTTCCATGTTTCTTAAAGAGATGGCGCCACAAACCAAGAACGTGTTTACTTCGGTATCGGTAATAGTACGACAAGTTTGAACGTTTTTCGAAGAGATGGCTCTACCAGTTAAATACTAAAAAAAAATTAAATTAAACATTAAACAAGTTTTAATATAATATATGTTTTATAAATGTTTTAATATATTGTATATTATATATAATAACATTTACATAAAATTATTTTCAAATTTTTCTCTAGTGATGAAGCTTTCGCAAGATAAAAAGTTCAAAACAAAATTTTAGAGAAAAATTGATATACAGATGTACGTATTATATTACAATATATTTTATTTTTATTACATATATATGTTTTACATTAAAATACTTAAATATGTATCTATATTGAATCTATTAAACTTAATTAGAAATTTCTTGATTCTTATTTCTTTTTATAATTTAAAGTATATCCCATAGTTGTTATAAGAATACTTCCGCAAAAAGCAATTTTTGCTAAATTATGTACCGAAAATATCTATAAAAGACAAACGTAATTTTTAAAATATTATTTTATTCTTTCTTTTTAATCTTCGTCATGTGAAAATCTTAGGTTAGGTTTTATTAAAACAAGTTTTTATTAAATAATTTTTTCAGTACTATTAAAAATTAATAATTATAATTTATTATATAATTATAAAATATATACTTAAAATATTTTTTTTTTATACTTAAAAATTTTTTTTATATATAATTTACATAATGTTCTCTCTTGTAATATCGTAATAGTAAGTATAGTATTCATTAAAAAAAAAACAGACACAACTTCTATTTGCACATCTCTTTTAAAGCCACACTGGTCATTTTCGATTAAATATTAGATATTATGAACGAAAAAATTGATATTACAGGAAAATTATCGATAAGAATTTTAAAGCAATTTTTAACTTAAATTCTAGCATCTCGATTAAAATTTATCTGGATAATTGATGGCATGATTATTTTAAAAATATTGGCAAGGAAACCGATGTTTTTTGCAATTAAGAAAAGGATGTTGACATAAAAGATTCATGAGACATGGAAGGAAAAAATATATGTTCGCTGTATCGGAGGATTCGTGTATTGGCAATCATATAGCATTATTCCTCTATAGAATGAAATAAATCAAATGGACGAGGAATGTAATAATATGATTAAAAAAAAAACTGGAACATGAAACGTGAAGAAATAAAAAAAGGTATTTAATTAAAAAAAAAATTTCATTCTCTTTATTCTTTATTATTATTATTATATATTATGAACATTAGGATAATATAATCTACGTAACGATAGATAATAAGTCGTTCCTTTCGATATGCAAGTATTGCCTTGCTGCGTAATATCAATATCATTATGTTAACCGCGTAAAGTTTGGACGAACTCAATTAAATCACAATCAATCACAATCATTTTAATATTACAATCAGTCTACATTCGTTTGCATTCTAGCACCATTTTGTCTATCGACGTAAATAGATACGATTTATAACGAATTCAAATCGATAATTGATTTCCTTAATATCCCGAAATAAGTAACTGTTTACATTGTAATTGTAAAGCGCATTGTAATTATAAGTAATAATGATATATAATTGAAACTATACAATTAAGCAAGCGTTCGTAATTATGGCAATTAACAAGTAAACTGCTACTATTAGCAATTCATTATTTTGTTTGTGGTGTTAATTTTAATCATCTTATTTTATCAGGCTCATTTTATCTTTTTCATATTAGAATATATATATATATATATATATTACCTATGATGATCAAGGTAATCTGGTCTGGAATGGATAAATGAATCGTTATCACGAACTACAAGCCGAATCGAGGCATTAAACCATCGTTTATCTCACGATAACGAATATTGGAATAATTAAAATTTCCGTAGATTTATCTTGCTCGAATATTACAGCATAGATTGTAAAGCGGCGGACGATCGAATTGGTTAATTTTATTACGCTTAACTGGATGCTGGATTGCTTTCCTGCGATCGTTCGACCCATCGAGTCGAGGATCCCAATTACCGATAGTTCCAGATCTTGCAACTTAATCAAATTCAATGGAAAAATAGAGCTGGGGGCCCTTTCTATGGGTTGTTGTCGAAGGGATATTACTGTGGCGAATGGTAATGACCTCCCTATTGCTCCAACTTTGTTCTCACGTTGGCAGTGGGTAGTTGGCGATAGACTGAAGGGGACGCGTGTGTTCGAAAACGACGAAAAGTCATCTAGAAAGTTCGAAATTGCTCTCAGGTATGTGTAAGAAATCTCTTGTTCGCTCCTCAAATCAAATGTTTGTGAATAAAAAACTATTCCATAGGAGGATAGAATAGCTTTATCAATGTCGGGTTTTAAGCGAATGATAATAATAACTTAATAACCAACTCGTTGACGAAAATATTTTTATCACCGTGTACATATTTATATATATACTCTTTAACCGTATCTTTCTTTTCCTTTTCGATAAATACGAACAAGAGAAATTGAACGCTGTTGGAAGAAGAGCCAACTCAAACGGTTCATTCGACGATTCTGTTACACGTAAGGATAAATCGATTTTCTCACGTGTTAAAGTAATAATCCGATCATCAGATTTATTGGATAGACAAAAGGTAGCGGAGTTCAAACACGAATATTTCACTTGTTGGAGGAGTTATACGTATTATTTTCCATAAAACGAAAATGCGAAAACGCATCGTTAAATATATCGGTGGCATTGGCAACGTTCTGCTTGATCCTTTGCCTTCTATTTTTGGATATATTCGCGATATACGCTCGGACATAAATAGTCGAGAATATTTCATCTGTTGATTTAAAGAAAAAAAAAAAAAAAAAATTTCAATTTTTTATTTAATTACGCGTTATCAAATTTTTCTGTGCGATTGCGCAATAATGTTAAACAATAATGAAGCGCACTCGATAAAAGATCGATAATTTTAAACACGAGATATATGGAATAAGCGAACAACCTGATCTGTACAAGTTGTTTTGTTCGGCCAGTGTCAGCTGTAATTCTATTATATTGTCTCGCTTTTGTGTGCGTGATCCAAATACAAAATCCTAATAGCACGTCAGGTCCATTTTCATCAATCAGGTCTCGTACCTATCTGGACTGGTCGATGCGAAATTGAAGATTGTCACGTATCGAGGAAAGTAGTGTCGAAAGTAAACACCGGGTAGAGGCCAGTAGAGAAGAGAGGATCTAATAATCGAACAAATCGTACATCGATTCCTCTTTGTTCGTTGCGTATATCTGTATGCGACGTGATAAGTAGTAAACTCATCCGACGTACGGTTACTTTTTGATCATTTGTGTCACGTATCGAGGTGTCTTCAAGGTGGCAAATGTCTTCTTTTTCTCCATCACCAAAGGGATGATGATAGTTCAATGGAACACGAAGCGATTTTTGCTTTTTAAAATTGCTATTAGTCAAGCTGCAGATGATGTTATATGTGGAGATCTTTATAATGAACATTAGTAATTTGGCAAACGGGTTCCGGTACTGTATATTTTCTATTAAATGTACATATTTATCAATATTAACATAGATATATTAACAAAATATACTATAATTTAATTTCAGGAACTCAAACAAATATGAATGTTAATGAGGTATTTATTGTTTTAACAGCAAACATTATTAAATAATTTAAATATATTTGTAATTATTTTATTAATTTTATGTAGGTAATTTCAAATCGTGCAGTTGAATTATTTAGTAAATTGGGATCAAAAACACCTGTTCATCCAAATGATTATGTAAATAAATCTCAAAGTACTAATGATTCATTTCCAATTGTTATGCAAGTGGCACTTGCTTTAGAAATTAATAGAGTTTTTCTTCCTGGTCTAAAAATTAAATGAAAAAGTTAATGCATGGAAACATATTATAAAAATTGGTAGAACTCATACTCAAGATGCTGTGCCTCTAACATTAGGACAAGAGTTTTCAGGTTAATATGATAATATTTTTATTTTTATATTTGTTATAAAATTATCAATTTTAATAATAAAAATTTAAAAATAAGTTATGCACAACAAATTTGTAATGGTATTCAAAGAGTGAAAGATACTCTTCCAAAATTATATCAATTAGCACTTGGTGGTACTGCAGTAGGAACAGAATTAAACGCATCAAAAGGTTTTGCAGAGAAAGCAATTGCAAAGATTGCAGATATTACTGGTTTATCTGTTGCTAATAAGTTTGAAGCTTTAGCATCTAGAGATACCATAGTGGAAACACATGGAGCATTTAATACAGTAGCAGTTTCACTTATGAAAGTACATTAAGATAATATTTAATTTTAAAAAAAACTTATATTTTAAATAATTTATTTTACATTATATAAAATTTTTATATAGATAGCTAATGATATTTGATTTTTGGGAAGTAAGCCTCACTGTTTAGGAGAATTATCTCTTCCTGAAAATGAGCTAGGAAATTCTATAATGCCTGGTAAAGTTAATCCGACGCAATGTGAACCATTGTCTATGGTTTGTCTATGTCAAGTAATGGGTAATCATACTGCTATCACTGTTGCTAGAAGTAACATGGTCATTTTGAATTGAATGTATTTATATCTGTAATGATTTCAAATGCTTTAAAATCTGTGAAATTATTAGGTGATGCCTCTGTATCATTTACAAAGAATTGTTGGTCTTAAAGCAAATGAACGTATTAAAAAACGTATTGTCATTTACAAACAATTTGTTGGTCTTAAAGCAAATGAAGAACATATTAAAAAACTCTTAAATGAGAGTTTAATGCTTGTCACTGCTTTAAATCCACATATTGGTTATGATAAGGTATTATAATTTTTCAATTTATTTATTTGATTAGAATTAATTTATTATGCTTTTATTGTGATTAATATATAAAAATTATGTTTTAATATTTGTGATATAATTATTATTATCGTATATTAAAAAAATATATAACTAAAAATATAATTGAAAATATAATCATATAAATTATATAAATTATATGATAGGTATTTGTATCATTTCAAAAAGTCATAGATAATAAATAATAAGTATTACAACTGAAAGTAGTTTTCAATTTAATAAACAAGATAATATAGTTTATAAATTATATAAATATATCTTCATTTATCTCATATGATGTCACATTGTAATATAACTTTTGAGGGTTATCTTATATTACAAAATAATATAAAAGTATAAATTAATCGGTCATTTTAATACATTACTTTACATGTTTTAAATTAAAACGAAATTTTTCATTCTTTGAATTCCATTTTGTTGTGGATAATCTATTTTTAAATTTTTATTAATTAAATCCAAAATGAATTCATTAAGAAAAATACAAAGTGTTATTATTAGACTAGGAAATCGTTATTACAAAAAAGTTGGAATTATTGGAGTACCATTTGAAAAAGGCCAGGTATTATTTTATGCAGTATAAAATAATATAATATGTATAGGAATAATGAAGTATTAATAAAAATATAGCATAAGAAAGGTGTAGCACAAGGTCCAAAAGTAATTAGAGAAGCTGGATTAATAAAAGAATTAGAATTATTAGGTAATTATTTTTATCTATTTTACTAATTTTGAACAACTTAAAAGTTATAAGTCTAACATATATATTTTAATTCTAATATACATATTTTTAAATTAAATAAGGATTAGATGTGAAAGATTATGGCGATATTTTATATGAAGCAAAAAATGTAACTGAAATAGATAACATGACACACTTAGGTGATGTTGCTGGTTGTACAAGCAAATTATCTGAACAATTTCAACAAGTTTTAAAGAAAGATCAAAAAGTATTAACTATTGGTGGTGATCATAGTATAGGAATTGGAACTGTAGATGGTCATATTAAGGTATAATATAAAAAAATAATACTTAATGTTAATATTATTTTAAATAAATAAATAAATAAATTTTATATAAAATATATAATTTTATATTATTTCATAATTATTTTTAAAATTATATTTTCTTCTTGCTATATATATTTTTATTTTATATTTTATTTTATTGAAGAAAAAAGGAGATATAGCTTTAATATGGGTTGATGCTCATGCAGATATAAATACAAATAAAACTAGCACTACTGGACAATATCATGAAACACCTGTAGCATTATTAATTTCTGAATTGGCCGATTATTGGCCACATCTTCCAGGAATGGATTGGCAAAAACCAATGTAATTCATAATTATATTATAACAATATTATCGAAATGAATAGTATAATATTAAATTAATATATAAATTAATAATTAAATTAATATATATTATTAAATTATAGGCTGTCTGTCAGAAATGTAGCTTACATTGGATTAAGAGAACTTAATAGTTATGAAAGACTACTTATTGAAAAATTTGGTATTACTGCTTTTGGCATGGAAGATGTAGAAAAATACGGTAATATTTTATAATATAAATGTTTAAGTCATAAACGAACATTTTTTAATCAATCATTAATATTTTTTTATTTTTTTAAGGTATTCATGATGTTACTTATATGGCATTAAAAAAAATAGATCCTAATGATTCAAAATCAATACACGTTAGTTTTGATATTGATTCATTAGATCCTTTGGAAGCACCGAGTACAGGAACTCCTGGTAAATTTCAAAACATTCATAAATAAATAATATCCAATCTAATTCTTAAACATTCTTATATTTATTCTAGTACGTGGTGGATTATCATTGAGAGAAGCTATTCATTTAATGGAACTTCTCTATAGAACTAAGAGATTGAATGCATTAGATATTGTAGAAGTAAATCCTTATATTGGTAATGAATGTGATGTTCAACTAACTGTTGAAGCTGCTATACATATTATTCAAGCTGGTTTTGGATATAATAGAAGAGGTTTTAAAGTTCCGGAAGGTGTTACAGATATACCATTACCAACAAAAAAAAATTAATTAAATAAATTAATTATATTTATTTATAATTTTATAATATTAAATATAATTAAGATGTCATATTAACTCTTTTTTGAAATTTATACAGTAATATGCTTTTGTAAACTTTTACACAATACCAGAAAAATATAAGAGAAATACAAAATAAAACAATATATTTCATTATTTTATCTGTTCATGAATCACAAAGATTTTATTAGGAACATCATTAAATTCAATTTCTACTTTTTTTATCTTGATTTCACTTTTGTCTGACTCAACTTGATACTCACAATTTAATTTTCCTTTAGTATTAATTCCTTTTACATAAAGACTGAATTTCTTAATATCACTATTTTCATTATTAGATTCAGCTTTTATTTTTCCTTCTTTTATCGGTTGTCCCAAATGTTCAATAGTCTTCTTATGATTATAAAATATTTCCAGTGCGCTTCTATATACTAATGTTCTTCGAATTCTTTTATCAATATAATAATTTAAAGTATATCCCATAGTTGTTATAAGAATACTTCCGCAAAAAGCTATTTTTGCTAAATTATGTACCGAAAATATCTATAAAAGACAAACGTAATTTTTGAAATATTATTTTATTCTTTCTTTTTAATGTTCGTCATGTGAAAATCTTAGGTTAGGTTTTATTAAAACAAGTTTTTATTAAGTAATTTTTTCAGTACTATTAAAAATTAATAATTATAATTTATTACATAATTATAAAATATATACTTACTTGATATCCATTCATTATTCAATTAATTCATATAAATATTTTCTTAGATAAACAAGTATCTTTGAAGGGCAAAATTAAGGAATCTTACTCTTATTCGTATATATATTTTATATCAACTACTTATATATATAATTTTACATAATTCTATTATCAAAGAAGAAAAAATAAACATTTAATAATTTAAGTACACATCAATAAATTACAAATATATTTAGAATACGTTTAGTAATTATAAAATGCACTTTTGTCACCTGATTGATTGAAAAATTTTATTATTGATTAAATACATATAAAATTCAATAGAAATTAAAAGAAAATATAGATAAATATAATAAAAATATAGATTAAATTTAATTAGTAAAAAAATAAAAATACAAATCTTAATATTTAAAAAAATCGTAGAATAAGGTTGTTTAATTTATTTCTTTATTTTAACAAAGACAATCTTTAATATATGCAAACAACTATATTGCTATACATCAAGTGTTGAATATTTTTATTATTTTGCATATAATCATTAAATAGATTTTGTAAGTGTATATCCATATAATTATTTCAGCAACAAGATTTTTATTTTTGCGCGATATGTTATTATAGATAATTCTATATAGGTACATGGATATTACAACAATATACATCAAATTCATAAATTTATATGTTGTAATCTATAAATTAATAGATATTTTCTACATAAATATAAGTATTTTCGGTAATATAGTAAAATTTGCTCACATATTTCGATAAGATCTTTATGTACAAAAAATTACAAAAAACAGAATTATCGCGAAATTCATGATAATGTATACAAAAACGAAGATTTTATAAGTCATACAAAATTAAGAGGTATTTTATAGATTTTATAGAGCGCATACATAGATATTAGAAATGTATCCTTATGTAAAATAATATACATGTGATAATATATAAAGTAAGACTAGATGTGAGTGTCACAGACCTTATCTATAAATCTATAATCGATACTGAGTACAGTTCGAGACACAATTCGAGACGAAGCAAAATCACCCGTCTTAACGCAAGAATATGCGGCACAACAACGGCTGAAAGCATACTGGCAAGAAGAGAGCAAATTGTAATTGTTAATAATTAATATCCTTTTTCCAATTTTTTTCGATTTCCTTAAGAAATTTATAGTATGCTTACTAAGTAGGACATAAAACTAAAAAAAAAAACATATATAATATAATTTTAATATATTAAGTTCGTATATTTATTTTAAATTCAATTACCTTTCAATATATAATCTGTTAACAAAGTAGGTACTGTTGGACTGTCTTCACTAATTGCTTTTAATACTGTAAAATAGAATATCAAAGTTAAATAATTAATATAATTATATAATTAACAATACCTACTTTTTATAAGAACTTGTAATGCTTGATTGTCTGGTGGGCCACTGTCTGTATGGTAAGGAATTACGGTAGTTAAATACTGCAAAAAACAGCATTAAAATTAAATAATTTTAAGTTTATTTATGAATTTATCATTTCAAAAAATCACAAATTACCTTAGATTCTTGAAGTGATCTATGTTGTAGTAAAGGACTAGTACCATTTTGCATTTGATTTCTTTTTTTTGTAACATGATGCTGTCTTCGTCGATTTTGTACTGCTAACAACAATGAAATAAATTGATTTTTTAATTCTTTTTCATATTCAAGTTCATCACGTAATGCAAGTTCCGCAATGAGAGTTTCACTAAGCGCTCCCACCAAGGATTCCATTTCTCCAAGTAACTCATTAAGCTGGCTGGAGGTAAGATGTTTTAATTCTAGAATGAATAATCATAATTCAGAATCATGAGGTCTATTTCGATGCAGTTTATTATTTTGAATCGATTTAAATATACTTTTTTCATGCAGTGGAGAGCCCAAAACTTCTCTGCTTCTCTCCAACGCTTCATCGCTATCTAATAAAGATCCATCAGAATCTGGAGATCTTTCCATGGATGGACTTTCCTACACAAGATAGATTTTCTTTTTTTCACGTAAATTTCTACCTAGTTTTTGAAAAATTTGATTTTTACCTGCATTATATCATCTATTTCACGGAGTACTTCTTCGGCAGTTTTCAACGGTTCCTCTGGACTATGAGTATCGGTGCTACTGGACAAGATCAAAGCATGCATGTCCAAATCAGTTGCAACAGCCTCATCTTCGCTACTTAAATCCTCTAGTTCTGGTCTATAGCAAATAAAATAAAAGCAAATCTAATTTGCAAATCGTGCTTTACATATACTTTCAAAATATATTAAAATGCTTCTTATTGTTTTAAAATATATATTTTTGCTGAAAAAAAGCTGCAAAATAAAATTGAAGAAGATTATAAAATATCGGACTTACCTTTCCTGTGAAACCGGAGCTTCGTTCAAATTAAGCGCAGGCATGTGCATTTTTCTAGCATACGATTTACTCCAATCGATTGGTAATATGTTACCAAATGTACCGGTAATCGTCCACCACATTCTATAAGAAAAAAAGAAAAAATTAAAAATCTCTTTTTAGAGATTGTGATGAAGAGAATATTTTTTTCTTCCAAACACATTAAATTTCATTGGACATATTACTAATTATGCACATACACTATATGAGCTGAGTCATATCCTCATGTTGAATTGTTCTCTGTTGTTTGAAAATTACGAATCGGGTAAACAGCTGCTATTTTTAATTCCGAACTCTTAACGATTACTCAGAATCAACACCGAAATGTAATATTAAATATTTTTAGAAAGACATGCTTAATAGTTATATGTTAAAAATTGGTGCAAAAATGTTCGAGGAAATGGTATTGTCATATTTCTAGCTACGAACTGTTCTATTTTTAAACCGAACAAGTAACAGCAATATGTTGCAGACGAATTATTTCATCGAACTCTGACGAGCGAAGAATAACCGTGTGAACATCAAATTTTGTAATCTAAATTTCATAGCAGTTTGCACATCCTGTGAACGATTCCCAGATGAATATTATCGCGTCAAATGTCTGGTGGTGAAACATATGATAAGATTCTGAGATGCGACATTTGGATGAAGTCTTCGTTTTCTAGGATGTGTACTGTGTGAATCACTCGACTCTCGTAGGCGTATCCCGTGCCTCATATAGTGTACAGGCACAGACCGTATAGATAAGCCCCTCGATCTATTGTAAACACATTTTAACTCGTTTCGATAACAATGCACCCATTCTAAGGAAATGAATTTCCGCGTGGAATCGACACCCGTGAAAGAGATCTTATCAAAAAATCTTTTTTCAGACTTCCGATTTATAAACAATTTCGATCAGATAATATCGTATATAATTTACAAATATATCTCTGTATGCTTGTTCGATTAATTAAATTATTTCCTACGATTACGGATAATCGATCAAACTGAACTTGAACGAATTAATTAATTACCACTGAAATCGAAGCTCCATGGTTCGTTGGCAGCCTTTAAAACTTTGTTTCTTTTTTTCTTTTTAATTATTCTTATCGATCATAAGTTGATTCGATTTCGATTATAATTTTTTCATGTAATCGTTTTTCATATGATATTGTACGCCCGAGAGATTCTCGGAAATAAAAGAGGCATACAAATATATATGATGAACCGGTCGATGGTGTTGAATTAATAAATAGAGGTCAATTCGACCCACTCGAGTTTCTCATTAACGTTAAGTGTATTAAAGCAGTGACTTCATCCTGTGCGCATGTTAGTCTCATCATTCTGATCAAATGTCTAAACAACCAGACCAGATCCACTGAAAGAATGGATCGTTAGATTAGGGACAATTTCGTTTGGCTTTAAATTTATTTAAATTTTTAAATTGAAACGATGCAGACAGAAATAATGAAATAAAAAAAAAAGAATAATATATTTTTGCAATCATCGTTTTTTTACGTGATCTGTATATTTCTCTCTAATAATTGGAACGAAAAAAATAGAGTGAAATTAAATTCCCGGGAAGGCGAGTGTATCCCTTTGCTTATTAATTCATTCTTCGGTTCAATGATCCGTGACGAGACCTGTCCAGTCCTCGTACATTATCTGTTGCATAATACAAACAGCTTACGAGCAAAAACATCAAATTCTTCGACGATATATCACTCTAATAAATCGTTACAATTCAATTTATACGAGCTAATTTATAACGGAGTCAATGAACAACTTAACGAGTTAACGAAGAATGTTCTATTGACTCATAAACAATATTATCGCTTCTAAAAAAATAGAAAGTGGATTACGATGTAGACAAATCGAAATATTTCCACTTTAAATCTTTTTATTGTATCATTGATTCGTCTCGTCTTATATATTCTTCACCGACAAAGATAAATAAATTGAAAATCAGAGAAACGGGACACGAAAGAGAACGGTGGTCGAGAAATATAGAAACCGGTACAGCGCATGCGCTGTTTTATTGACGTTTGTCCATTCGAAGGGTGGCTCGATACGAACGTTGGAACAAAACACAAAGATCAAATTTTCATGAGACACCCTCTTACGATTCGATCGATGCACGATTTCTTGCTATTACGATCGCATTACTGACCCGTTACCTCCTAGGGAACTGGATTTCGGGTGCCTCTACGCATTCTTCTCGTGTCACATCAATCCGCCATTTTTACACTGCTTACCATTTAAATCTGAAATGGAAATTTTTACAAAATAGACGTTTCACGTTTCAATTGTAAATATTAAAAGATAAAAATACTTGTTTGAAATATTTCTTTAGTGACAACTAATTAACAATTCCGCCGCGTTTGGCGCATAGTTGTTAAGAATAGGAAAATAGGAGAAATCTCGAGAATGAGTGTGTAGTTTGAAAAGAGGGCCAGAGAAAAATAAAAAGGAAAGGGAGTTACGTGCCTTACGGGGCGAGAAAGTCTTTCGAAAGGTGAAAAGAAAGCTGCTGCCACCGTTTCGCGTTCAAAGGCGAGTAACCATCGGAGCCACGACCTTGGCTCCCAAGAAGAAGAGATGCGTTTCGTTCGTGGAACAACGCTATTCCTCTCGTGACAAATTACGAACAATGCGCCGGATACGCACGCACGGATGCGTTTATTCTTTCCGGCTTGATGCATGCATATGAAACCGGCACCGATGCCGAATGAGACACGTGCGAGTGCACGTGCCCGATCTCTGCGAACCTCGGCCACTGACCTCTCGACTTCTCGTGGACGCTCGGACTTTCGATATTTTGACCAACCTAAAATTGTGCTTGTCTTTGTCCCTTAAACATAATTCAGAAAAATCGATTTTAGAGAGCGATCGATTTTTAATTTGGATCGAGAAAAAATATTCAAATCAGAAATCATTTTGATGATTCCTCTGATGAAAATGGAATTTAAACTACCATATATGAAACCGATATATTGTTTAATAGCTTGGATAATTTTTAATTTATTTATGACGAATATATTAAAAATTGGCTGCGTTGAATAAATAATTTTTATGATGCATGAAATGTAAAACAATAATCAAAAGACACAAATTTCGCAAAATATTTGCTTCGTAATTAATGAGGCAAAAATTGTCGAAAACCAAGGATGACGTCATCCGACATCTCAATCGTTACGTAACACTCGAATAGTGGACTTGAGTTCGTGTTCAATTCCGATTTTGCAGTCAAAAATAAAATATAAGGTAAGATATGGTAAACCTCTTCTTCGTGATAATATCTATTTGGAGAAGTTGCGGTTACAACGTGTTGGAACCGAGTCTACCGTGTAATTGTGTAATACATATATCAGTAAGAATAAAGTTTAACTATCCAATTCGCTACACACATAAAATCCTATTATAATGTCATAAAGAATTGCATGAAAAGATAATTTTATGACAAACGTATATAAATGTTAAATTCTAAAATAAAACACTGAAAAAATCTGAAGGAACGGATTTATTTTCCCCGTTCATAGATTTCAATGGCAACCGAAGAAAAGAAGAAAAGAAGAAAAGTTTCAGGTAGGCGCCTGTCCAAACAGGTACACAATCTCGAAAGAACTATGCGTGGGTCATCAGTTTAACCTCCCCTATTGGGTAAGAGTTAATTCTTCGTTCCGATGCAATCTTTCTTTCCCTTTAATATAACAGCTCCCCTAGGTCTACTACAAAATGCTTTTTCACAGGTTTATTTTCTTTTCTACTACGATCGGTCTGATGAAAGCAGCAGGATGTCTAGACGAATTTCGAGAAAGGCGTGACTTCAAAGAAATTTATGCACAAGCGGTGGAGTTGAAACGAGTTTAAGAGCCTCACCGTGTTATTCTATACCGAAGAAGATACAATTTTGCGCTTCGTTGAATTTCACCTGCACGGACTGCGTTACGTGGCGGAATATATTCGGAGACGGACACCTGCATTGCGGATAATACCATGGATTTTTCACGGGGAATGTTTCAGGAATCTCTGAAATCTTTTAAACGATCGAAACGATATTTCAATTAATTTTCACGATTTTGCCTTTTTTTTATTTTAATTATTATTATTTTCATCTAATCGACACGAAAATCTATAGTGTTTGTATCTATGCGTTATAAAAAGTAATTATATAATTCACTATGATAATTCATTATGAAAATGATTCGCGAAGAATAAAAAAAAAAAGAAAAGACGATGGAAAAAATTATAAAGATATGTGTTTTGTTATGTTTTGTGGAATTTAGAAATCGACAAGAAATCGATAGATCGATCTTTCATTAATTTGCTAATGCACGGAGCGCAACGATAGTTTAATTAAAAGATAAGTTACTTTCTTGTTATGCGTTCTGTCCACTTCGAGGAGAGAAAGCTGCAGAACGCGCCGCAAACGTCCTGTAAGTAGAGAGTATTCGTGGTGGCACACTTTTCTGTTGGAGAATCGATACTTGATCTTAAAGATCAAACTTATAAGAAAAATCTGCATTTTGTTTAAAAAAATAAATCGTTCAAACGAATTCATAAATTTCCAATCACTGTCAAAAATATATGTACAATTATTTTATTTTTATCTCTTTCTTCAATTGATAAAAAAAAATACACTTATTTTAAGAAAATGTGACAAAATTATATAACACAAAAAATAAAAGGATAATATTCGTTGAACCATATCAATGCGTTAACCATATCAATGGTTTATCGCAAGTAACCTGTAACGCTTCTTAATGAAACCATACGAGTTATGTTCAAACGATATCGGTTTAGCCGGAGCCATCGAGTGAAACTGTTTGCGCGTCTTAACGAGAGTCGAAGAAAGCGTTAACATGAGATTACTTAAACAGGATATGAAATATTACCCAAGGAACAATCAATAGAATCATAATACTTTAATATTTACATCTTATCTATACGATCTACATATACGATTTTTTGCAAAAAATTTCTTAAAATAACAGTTTAGTATCTTGAATTATGCTATTGATAAAATAATAAGAGCGATAATTACTATTCATACAAGAATAATATCATAATATCATGATTATCGTAACGATTACTTCCGTTCAGCAAGAACTGATGCGACTATCATTACTTTATAACGAGGATCGAAGAGTTGCACAACGTAATAGATACCTCAAGGTAAACGCGACAATTTGAATGCGATAACTCTGGCAATCTTCGAGGAGTATTCATTTATTCGATCAGCCGCCAAGAAGCGGCAGTAGCTTTACTTTTTTAATCGTCAAACGTGGTCGTGTAAACCGGTATAACTGTACCGGAGATATCGCGTGACCCGAGGGTAATAGAAACTTTTCAATCGCGCACGTACTAACGTAATTTTCACTTGCGTACTTAATTATTTCTTTTGCCTGCGATGCGTTAAAAAGAGGTCATTTTGGTGAAAATAAATAATAAATAAATAAAAAAAAAAAAAAAAAAAAAAAAAAAAAAAAGAAGGAAATAAAGAAATCTCTGGTTAGATCTTTCATTCGCCGATCAACCGATTATTTTACACTAATTGACTTGATTAATTAAAATTATTTCTCTTGAGCTTATCGTTTGTGCAAACTACCATTCAAATATTCTAACCAGGTTTTATGTAATGATATATCTTTAAAAAATAACACCCATTGTAACAATATGTAAGTATAAAACTTACATAAAAAGGATATCGACGTTTCAAATACTTACTGACATTCGTTCATAATTTCTTCTTGCGTTCGTACTTGCACGGGCGCTAGGGATTCAACGTTCGTGCCGTAATCGCGGAAACAGGATGTTATCTTCTCATCGAAGGTGTTAACGAGGTCCTCGAGACTGCCGCTGAAAGGGCTGAATGTCCCCTCTTGCAGAATATCAGTGCCATTTTCACGCGTAGTCGCTGGTTCATTTGCATTACAGTTTTCTCCATAAGTTGTGTTTAAAGTTGTATCCAGCAATTGTTCTAAATATAACAGACAAAAAATCATTATTAACGTGTACTATTTTTAGAACTCAATGTTAGCTTATTAATCATCATTCCCAATAGAATCGCTAAAAAAGTAAACACGATAAGTTCGATGTAGGACACATCAGATTGAAAAGCCGATAATAATTTATTTTTATATATAGAATTATAAAAAAGAATTTTTAGGTAGAATAATAAGTTTAGTTTAGTTTAAAAGATAATCGATATTAATTTACATTTATCATGGATATGTTATCAGTTATATAAACACGATGGATCATACTTTCGCATAGATACTAGTGACGCATAAGAGATCGAATGTTTTTAGGATTAAATATCAGTCATTTTTCTGTAAGGGACCGGAAAACATATACGCGTTTCATATATTTGCGTTTTTTTTTTTACGAGGTAGGTCTTTCGAGGCCAGATTTCCAACGATGTATGTTCTACGATGTCGTGAAAAGTGATACGAGAGTTAAAGCGTACATGAAGGATATTAGACACCAATTGTACGCATGACGTAGTCTTTTGTCGCGCGTTCGTCGCCCGAAGGTCGCTTCTTCATCGCTGCCTATACTAAGCCACCCTCGTCATTTAATTTACACGTCCGCAAAATAAGCGTGACTACGTGTGTCTGCACATTTACACAAAGACAAACGAAACCTGTTCCCACTATCGAGAAACTCTTTCGATTTTGAAATTTCCGCTTATAGTACCGATGACGTACTGAAATACCTTTTTTAGTCAAGGTAAAGAAAATCAAGAACATCGAAAAAATCATGCGTTCATGTTTGTTTCATAAGTAATTCGATCATTATTCACTTTACAATTATATTAGTTTAAGATCGATTATAACGAAAGCAGAAAACAAACGAAAATTACTGAAGCTATATTAATTTTTGTAAAAAATTAATCAGACCTTTTGATTTTGATACTTGATAAAATACATCTGTAATAAAGAGACATTTCTGATTCGAAAATATCACAATAGACTTTGATCTTAACGAGGTTAATAGAAATTCATAACTGACATAAGATCCATCTTAAATCAAGTACGAGGGAACAAACGGAAAGACAACGTATGTTCTTTCGCACCTGTCAGTAAATTCATATTCTTCAAGCTGGCCGTGTCTTCCTCCTCGAATCGTGCGAGGGGTGCCTCGAACTTCAACTCGGCGATCTTGCCCGCCATGTCCCTCATTATTGACCGTGTAGAGAAGAACCGGCAGCGAAGTTTATCACCGTGATGAAATTGGGCACCGTACACTTGCGGCAGCGCCCCCGAGGCGCACCGTTTTTGTCGTTTGCTTTATGATTCTTTTAAAAGACAATAGAAAAGAAAAAGACGATCGACATTAAAACTAGTTGCCCAATTATACAATATCCGCTGCCTGCGAGGCTTCGCGAACGACTGACGCAGAGGGGGCTTACTCCAAAATAGTGGGGGAAGATGATTGCTAGTCACCATGACAACCGCTGGCTGAGCGCGCCGATGGCACGAAGCATTGACAGTAATGTATTTGAAGAATAAGGCACCCTGTGAAATTAAATAAAATAATTTTTAATATGCAAATTTAAGATATAAATAAAAATTTACAAAACAAAATACGAATAACATATAGCGTAAATTATATATCCCATGTTCTGAAATATCGATCACACAAAAAATCTGTTTTTAATAAACCTTTTATGATTTAAAACGGTGAATGTAGGAATTTTATTCTATTTAATTATAAAAGTTAGTGACGTCAATAGATTTTTAAAATAATTTCTTTAATACATACTTTCAAGTATATATTGGATTATATTCATAGATTTTTTAATGAGTACCAATAGTTTTTATTATCTCTTAAATATGGGATCTTTCCTCGAGCGCATAAATTTTCCAGAGCAAATATAGACAAGAAGAGATAATAATGGGAAAAGGATAGAGATAGAGTAAAAATTCGGGAATCAGCGCCATCTCTAGAGTGCCGCAAATGAAACACAAATATAGACAAGGAAAACAAATATTGAGAAAAGGATAGAGAGATCAGTATTTTATTAGTAGTGTCATCTCTTTGAAAAATATTCAAACTTCTCATACATCGTTATCGATAATACAGTAAACTTGTTAATAGTCTTTGATTAGTGGCGCCATCTCTCAGAAAAGCATTGAAATTTCTTGCGCATAATACTAACAATAAACAAGTTTCAAAGTTTCTTAAAGAGATGGCGCCACAAATCAAGAACGTGTTTACTTCGGTATCGGTAATAGTACGACAAGTTTGAACATTTTTCAAAGAGATGGCTCTACCAGTTAAATACTAAAAATAAAATTAATTTAAACATTAAAAAAGTTTTAATATATGTTTTATAAATGTTTTAATATATTGTATATTATATATAATAATATTTACATAAAATTATTTTCAAATTTTTCTTTAATGATGAAGCTTTCGCAAGATAAAAAGTTCAAAACAAAATTTTAGAGAAAAATTGATATACAGATATATAATATACGTATTATATTACAATATATTTTATTTTTATTACATATATATGTTTTACATTAAAATACTTAAATATATATCTATTTTGAATCTATTAAACTTAATTAAAAATTTCTTGATTCTTACTTCTTTTTTCTTTTTTTTACATATAATTAACATAATGTTCTCTCTTGTAATAATAAGTATAGTATTTATTAAAAAAAAACAGACACAACTTCTATTTGCACACCTCTTTTAAAGCCACACCTTGGTCATTTTCGATTAAAAAATACTGTTCTTTTCAATACGATATTTATGATAATGCATCTTAGGCTCGTTAATGGAAATTGTGAATAGATGTGAATAGATTTTCATTATCATCATTAAAACGATATATTTTTGACATTTTCCGATTTAGTTACTTTTTCATTAATACAAAGAAAAATCAAAAGAAATAAAATAATTTAAGAAGAAAAATATTAATATATGCTTTCTTTTTGTTGGTTTATTAATAATACCATATTATAAAATATGTTTTATTAATGTTTTGTTCTATAATATTTTCATGCCAAACTTGAATTGAGCTAATATAAAAGGTAAATGGCATGCAGAGTACGTAAAAATTAATATAATGTAGAATTGTAGTTAACCTTGATATCGTGAATTGTTAGCAAGTAATGGTGATGATTAATGAAGATAATGAATGAGAACTTTTTGATACGATCTATCTCAAGAACGAAATCGTTATCATCGTTCGTTTTTATCAATGATTTGAAAAATTTGAAAAGTAATCAATACATCATCGGCCACTTTATAAAAATTTTCCTCAAAAAACATGTATCCATCGAGATATTATGAACGAAAAAATTGATATTACAGGAAAATTACCGATAAGAATTTTAAAGCAATTTTTAACTTAAATTCTAGCATCTCGATTAAAATTTATCTGGATAATTGATGGCATGATTATTTTAAAAATATTGGCAAGAAAACCGATGTTTTTTGCAATTAAGAAAAGGATGTTGACATAAAAGATTCATGAGGCATGGAAGGAAAAAATATATGTTCGCTGTATCGGAGGATTCGTGTATTGGCAATCATATAGCATTATTCCTCTATAGAATGAAATAAATCAAATGGACGAGGAATGTAATAATATGATTAAAAAAAAAACTGGAACATGAAACGTGAAGAAATAAAAAAAAGTATTTAATTAAAAAAAAAATTTCATTCTCTTTATTCTGGATAATATAATCTACGTAACGATAGATAATAAGTCGTTCCTTTCGATATGCAAGTATTGCCTTGCTGCGTAATATCAATATCATTATGTTAACCGCGTAAGGTTTGGACGAACTCAATTAAATCACAATCAATCACAATCATTTTAATATTACAATCAGTCTACATTCGTTTGCGTTCTAGCATCAATTTTTCTATCGACGTAAATAGATACGATTTATAACGAATTCAAATCGATAATTGATTTCCTTAATATCCCGAAATAAGTAATTGTTTACATTGTAATTGTAAAGCGCATTGTAATTATAAGTAATAATGATATATAATTGCAACTATACAATTAAGCAAGCGTTCGTAATTATGGCAATTAACAAGTAAACTGCTACTATTAGCAATTCATTATTTTGTTTGTGGTGATACGATGTTAATCTTAATCACCTTATTTTATCAGGCTTATTTTATCTTTTTCATATTAGAATATATATATATATTACTTATGATGATCAAGGTAATCTGGTCTGGAATGGATAAATGAATCGTTATCACGAGCTACAAGCCGGATCGAGGCATTAAACCATCGTTTATCTCACGATAACGAATATTGGATTAATTAAAATTTCCGTAGATTTATCTTGCTCGAATATTACAGCATAGATTGTAAAGCGGCGGACGATCGAATTGGTTAATTTTACGCTTAACTGGATGCTGGGATGCATTCCTGCGATCGGTCGACCCATCGAGTCGAGGATCCCAATTACCGATAGTTCCAGATCTTGCAACTTAATCAAATTCAATGGAAAAATAGAGCTGGGGGCTACCCTTTCTATGGGTTGTTGTCGAAGGGATATTACCGTGCCGGATGGTAATGACCCTCCCTATTGCTCCAACTTTGTTCTCACGTTGGCAGTGCGTAGTTGGCGATAGACTGAAGGGGACGCGTGTGTTCGAAAACGACGAAAAGTCGTCTAGAAAGTTCGAAATTGCTCTCAGGTATGTGTAAGAAATCTCTTGTTCGCTCCTCAAATCAAATGTTTGTGAATAAAAAACTATTCCATAGGAGGATAGAATAGCTTTATCAATGTCGGGTTTTAAGCGAATAGACGATAATAACTTAATAACCAACTCGTTGACGAAAATATTTTTATCACCGTGTACATATTTATATATATACTCTTTAACCGTATCTTTCTTTTCCCTTTCGATAAATACGAACAAGAGAAATTAAGCGCTGTTGGAAGAAGCCAACTCAAACGGTTCATTCGACGATTCTGTTACACGTAACGATAAATCGATTTTCTCACGTGTTAAAGTAATAATCCGATCATCAGATTTATTAGATAGACAAAAGGTAGCGGAGTTCAAACACGAATATTTCACTCGTTGGAGGAGCTATACGTATTATTTTCCATAAAACGAAAATGCGAAAACGCATCGTTAAATATATCGGTGGCATTGGCAACGTTCTGCTTGATCCTTTGCCTCCTATTTTTGGACGTATTCGCGATATACGTTCGGACAGAAATAGTCGAGAATATTTCATCTGTTGATTTAAAGAAAAAAAAAAAAAAAAAAATTTCAATTTCTTATTTAATTACGCGATAACGTTATCAAATTTTTGTCTATGCGATCGCGCAATTGTTAAACAATAATGAAGCGTACTCGATAACGGATCGATAATTTTAAACGATCGGGCAAACACAAGATATACGGAATATAAGCGAACAACCTGATCTGTACAAGTTGTTTCGTCCGGCCAGTGTCAGCTGTAATTCGATTATATCGTCTCGCTTTCGGAATAGTGTGCACGTGCTCCAAATACAAAATATCCTAATAGCACATCAGGTGCACTTTCATCAATCGGTACAGGTCTCGTACCTATCTGAACTGGTCGATGCGAAATTGAAGATTGTCACGTATCGAGGAAAGTAGACACCGAGTAGAGGCCAGTAGAGAAGAGAGGATCTAATAATCGAGCAAACCGTACATCGATTCCTCTTTGTTCGCTGCGTATATCCGTATGCGACGTGGTAAGTAGTAAACTCATCCGACATACGGCTACTTTTTGATCATTTGTGTCACGTATCGAGGTGTCTTCAAGGTGGCAAGTGTCTTCTTCTTCTCCATCACCAAAGGGGTGACGATCGTTCAATGGAACACGAAGCGATTTTTGATTTTCAAGATTCAACTACTTGTTGGTGGTGTACTTATTATTGATTGAACCATCATCGAGTGAATACCATTGGGGAAAAAATATTCGGTTTCAAGTTTAAATTTCTTTTGGGAATGAAATTCGTTTGAAATAACGGGAGAGTTTTTTAGTCTGAAATAAGATTTGATTGAAACAATACGAACCGTACGATCTAATGTTCGATCGCGATACAAAATTTAAATGCTAATTTTACATCTTATGTGTGCGGACTATATCTTACATATTCTGCATTTGTTAGAAGAAACTAACACATTGTGTTAGAAGAAACTATTACATAGAAAGCAGTTCTCTTTATATTCATATTTTATTTACAAAGTATCATTACTAGATATGATCTAAATAGAATATTTATGCAAAAAAAAAAGCGGAAAACATTGTTGAAAATACGGCCACTGTTTGAATATTATATTCATTATTTCTCTTTTTTCCTTTCTTTCCAGCATTGAATTACACGGGTTGAATAAATTTTATAAATTCGATAAAAGAGCAATATATATTTTTTTCTCTTTTTGTATTTTGAGCATACTTTCGATCGATATTTCCGTGGAGAGAAAAGTTATTAATTGTATTAATGTATAACGAACATGATTCGATAATAGTAAAAAATTATATAAAGCGATATAAATTATTTATATAATCTACTATTAATTACGATCTATTAGTTAATCGCTATAGCATTGTAGCTTGAATCAAGTGAACCATATCATATTGCGAAATAAAAAAAAAAAAAATTGCAAATTGATATTAAACGGTACTAGAGTATTTTCTTAACGCATTTTAAATAATTAAATCTTCACATTTCTATTCATCATAATAGGATTTAATTGATACATTTAGATATCAATTAATGAATTTATTACCCAGAATAAATTACATAGTACACGCTTCGATGTTTCAAGGATATCAACGATACTCTCATGTGTCACTTGATATATACACATATACATATATATATACAAGACCGATTCGATGTATAACAGATATTCTTTAATTACGAATTTCTTTACAATAAACAAATTTCGAATTTGTGAATATAAAAAACACGATAATGATTAGCGGATGAATGAAGTTCATAGTTCAAGAAAAGAAAAAAAAAAAAAAAGAAAAAGAAAGAGAATGTTCAATAATACGCATTGTAATTTTTTTAAATCGAGTGTTTTATTCTCGAGGTAAACTCACGTATATACAATTACCGCAATTTTAATGCAAGAGAAGGTATACTTTATTCCGATTGGCTTGCCAGTTACGGATCTGGCACCGCCTCTGCCACTCGTTTGAGAATCATTTATGTGTACACGTAACCACGTATCGTGATCTTTTAACGGGCTTGCGATTGTAACAAAATATATCATCGATTAACATAAAAAAATCATTTATCATCGAGTCGATCGAAATTCAAAGTAACACAACAGGGTGGTATACCGGAATAAGAAGAAACCGTGTTTCAACTTCTTCTCTATTTGCTATCGAAGTTTTTATTTCCATTTTTTTTAACTGAAACTTACGCAGCTCAGATTCGATATCCTTCTAATTAATGATACATTCGATATGCATATTCTATGCGTCCTTTAAGGAATTCATGTTCTGATCGCGCGCGCAAAAAAGAAAAAAAAAAAGTCTGAGTAAGAATCGTCAATCATGAATAATTGCCTTTACCGGAAACGTAACGTGCACGTTGCAATGACAATAATAACAATCGAAATTAATCAGAATCGAATAACCAATTCCTCCATTCGATCGCGATTTTTCACTTCTCTACATTTTTCTTCCTCTGTCTTTTATCCCAATCCGAGATCACGCAATGCAATTTCTTGCAGTTGTTCCAACTTGTTCGCACTATTATCGTTTAATCTCCGAGCGGAGACGTAACGATTTGTAATAAATTTGCTCGTGGAAACGTAATGGACGATGAAAAGACGCGATAAGAGAGAAAAAAGAAAAGACACGAGAGAGGGAAGGTGTCGTGAAAAAAATTGAGCGCAGTGTGATCACGGAGAAGCCAGCCGCGTTCACGGTTTAACACCTTCCACCGAATCCGGTTCGAAAGGATTCCTAGAAGGAAACGAGTAATTCTTATATTTCATCGAGGTATCGTTAGCGATCGCCTCGTTTATCAGATCTCGCGATCAAAGGCTATGGATATCGGTGATTGTATTTGCTTCGTCGACCGTTGCGGAGAGCCTAACAATGTCCATTCTGGAGATTCTGATCGAAAGATCGCCGGACCAGAGACAGGATGTTTGTGTAGGAAAATCTAGGAAAACGTATGAAAAATGGGTCAGGAACTCGAGCTGAATTCGATTTTATAAGAATTCTCAAGGAGTGATAATGTTTTTTTTTTCTTTTTTTTTTTTTTTTCTTTTTCTTTTTTGCCGTTTTTTTAATCCACCTTCGCGTCGAAAGAGGATATAGAACGACACTCGATACTCAGGAACTGAAAGCCGACGTCATTGAATGCCTCTTAAGGCACGGTTACGGTTCTCTTTGCTGTCCTTCAGTTCGCTGTCCAGAGTTTAAATCGACGAGAATTCCGTGACCGGTCCTAGGTGTGCCTTTTCTCTATATTTTAGACGAATTATTATAACATTTGGATTAATATCAATATTTTTTAAGACGCATAAATAAATTGCGGGTGAATGATCACTTTAACCAGAATCGGAATCCGGTTCACGTTGGTTTATATTAAATATTTTTTTATATGACGAGGAAATAGGTTGCCAACGCATTCCTCGATTATCTACTTGTATTAGAAAGATTTATTGGTACCTGCCTTTGATATAATACTTTGGTATATAACTGTTGTTCGACGATAGGATAGAAAAGAACGAAAGGATATAAGGCGCGAATCAACTTTCAGTTTCGAAAGAGGATATCGGAGTCGAACTACATTCGATATCCAGCCGCGCATTGACAATCGAGACAAACCCCTCACTTTGAATTTAAATAGAACGCGATCCTATTCTTTTCTTATTCGAATAACACGTCGACTCGAAGCGAGAGATGTTCGAGAAGATGATTTCGAGATGATTTTTTCGAAAATTTTTAACGTTCTTCGTTTTACGAGTTTAATCGTTTTTCAGTTTGTCACTAACGTTTTGTCGATATATGAAGGAAAGAAGTCGATTTAATCGGCAAACATTGACCAATTATTTTCCAATCTTAATCTATTTTTTTTGCCCTTTGACACTTGTATGCACATTGAATTCAAATTAAACGCTTCACGCTCGTTGAAATGTCACTCGTTCGACGACGCAAATACTGAAAGATTTTAGAGTGGAAAGAGAAACTTGGTACTCTTGGCGCGTACGAAATTGTTATACTTCCGTGTCACGTTGCAATATTTGCGGTAACGAATAATGGGAAAACGTGACAGTTGTAATATTGTACGCGATTTCGTGGAATGGCATGGCAGTTTCGAGGATAAGTTAATTAATAACATTCATTCTTATATCATAACGTGCATCGAAGTCTATCACGGTATACCACTTAGTAATTGACGCGACTAATAATTTTCCTTTTTTTTTTTAGATTTCTATTAAACGTCGATCGCGTGTCTCAACCTGAACATTATTTTTAAAACAATTTTTCTTTATTCTTTTCTCGTTTCATTTATAAGTTAAGTAATATTAAGCAACAATAATAATATGTATACACACAATGATCGTATAGATCGATGTTGTGTACGATGTATACTAGATCTTCTCTCGATACAGCACGATGATAACGATAATCAAGAAACTCAAAAGAAGAACTCACGCGATTAATTATTAACGGGAAGACATCGCGAAAGATGATCGAATATATACGTGTACGAGGTGTTATATAAGGTATCCTTTCCAATTTGAAAAGATGTTGCAAAATCTTTACAACCGGAAATACAAAAATATTGATTGCTTCGACGAAAAAAATGCTTCGAATAAGAAGAGGGAATTAAAAACAGGAAATCAAACCGATCGTATTGTTCATTAGATCCTGATGTTTTTTATCGTAAACATCCTAAACTGTATTCCCTGTTTGTCCCTGAACCTGTAAGAGTGGCTTTTTTTCCGTACTGAGCGTATATAAGAACTGACGACGTCCTATCACAAAGCGCAGTATTAGATTACCACCTCGACGTTAACACGAACCTCGTGTTATTTACAAACTTCGCCGGTGCTTTTATATTCAGTGACTAATTAAATGTAAAATCGTGTTCGTTTTCGAGACGATATTATTATTGAAATTTTGGAGAAACCGGTTTCAAGCACGCATAAAACAGAAATTAAATATTCATCATCATGGAAACCGCGTTGTCCACGAATATGGATAATTCTGCTCTTATCGATGTTGGCAAGAGTCAGACCAACTTCGCAAAAAAAATGCCAAAAATGGTCAAGTACACGGTAAGCTCACGATATTTTTCACTTCGAGTTTTCCAATAAATTTTATTCATGCGATGCTTTTTCGTTGCATATATCTTGACTAACATCATCGTGAATAATTATAAAATTCATTGTTGCGATGTAAAAATAATTAAATATACTGTGAATATAAATAAATATGTAATTTTATATATATATATATATGAACGATTAAATTATTCAAAAATAATTTCAAAAATTAATTGAATTTAAAAGAAAATTTTCAAATTATTCAATAATACATCATAAAAATAAATCATTTTCGTTTATATTGTATTTTTTGTACTCATTGTATAAAAGTGATCAACTGTTCGGTCTTTAAATATATTATTCATTGATAACTGTGATAAAACGTTGCATAAATAAGAACACTTCGTAAATATAACAAACCTCGTTAATTGTTCTGTGTGAAAGCGTTAATTCAATTCCCGTGAACGCGAAAATAACGAATTGTTATTGTCTTGATTGCATTAAGTTACATTTATTTATGTATGCATTGTTGCACCATATTTTGTTATTCAGAATTCGTGCAATCAGATGTGCCACTTTGTCTAAGCAATGATCCAAATACCAACTAGATTAATCATTATCTAAATTTTATGGTGACTTAATAAAACCACGAAGATAAATTTAAAATAACACATTTGCGTATATTTCGTAATTTTTGTTATTTTCTTCTTATCTGTTTTAGCTTGCGGATTCAACGAACGACGAAAGAATTAGCATGGACTATCATATTCAAATAATCACCAAAGATGATAAGCTTAGAATACTTAAATTTCTGAGAAGATTCTTCTTCAGAGATGAACCGCTTAATCATTCGATTGAATTAATACCAGAAAGCGAGGATAGTACTTGTCTCGAATTGGAAGAATATTGTAGCATGTCTTCCCTTGAAAATAATCTCAGTCTTATGGCAGTCTCAACGAACGGTGCTATAATAGGTGTTATATTAAATGGTAAGACTTTGATCTATATGTATCAAAGATTAACCAATGTTTTCACTATTCATTGAGCTATTTACGCGAAAGCTGTTGGAACTACGATTGTGTTTACGCAGATATGTATATCTGGGTTAACAACACGATCGCATATCAAGAATGTTCTATTTTCAGTGGAAAACAATGATGAGTTAAAAAGTTCTATGAATATAAAATCATGATGAATCAATCATGATAAATATTTCTCAAGTTAATATATTAAAGAATGAATTTAAGATAATGAAATAAGTAGATATTTTAAAATAATAATATTTAAAATATTTAAAATATGATATATAAATATAGTACAAAAAATATTTTATTTCGTAATTATATATTTCGTAATATATATATTCGTAATTATATATAGAATATGGATTGGCTCATTGAGTGATTTTGATATGTAGTTATGATTTAAAACTATTTCGAAGATTTAAATTTAATTTATTTATCCTTAACCTATCCTAAATCTAACTCAAACTTATTTCAAACTTTGGAATACGAATGATGAAAATATTTTTGCAAATATTTTTAAAATTAAAATCGAGCGATGCTTATATACACATATACTATCAAAGTTACTCAAGATGTTGATCTTGATAACATGTTTCAAGAAAATTAATGAGATACCTCCTATTCTAAATAATTATCATCATATCCTGTTTGAAAATTAATATCATTAAGAAATTTATTATTATTTATTACGTAGATTACTACTAAAAATAGAAATTATAGATAATTATAGTATTTATAAGGAAATAATTTTTATCAAAGCTAATTAAATATTTAATTAAAAATTACTATATATATTTTCTTATTGTGTTTATATTTAAATATAAATTATATTAAATTGATTATAATTTATAATAATAAATACATAAATCACATAAAAAAATTAAAAAAAAAAATTGAAGAGAGGAAACACACCTATCGTATAAAACGGTACTACATATTTAACGTTACATAAATTGTTGTGAGAATACCGAGTAAGCGTGTAACTATTAATTGTTATCGGTTGTCACAATCGCAGTAATTATGTTATTTTATCGACACATCTAGTTAATTACATATTCAAACAAATCAAGTTCAAAAATTCACCTGTCAAGTTAGAATTCTCAATATAGAATTCTCATTTTATCGATATTGAATATTTCTTATCGAAACATTATTAAGATTATAAGAATTTGGAATCAATATAATATCAAATATCAAATATTAAATCAAAATATTTGATTTATAATTATTTGACTTTGTAATTACGATTAATAATATTTAACTTATCATCAATATATTAAAACAACTTTCTTCTCATTCATATTAAAATATTCATTAAAATTTATACATATATATACATATACATTTAATTATTATATTAATTAATTGATAAATGTTTACTTTAATGTTTATATAATTATTAATTGATATATTTATTTAAATACAGGAAAGATGGATCCTCCAAATGATGAAGAACCAGAATATATAACTACATGTGAAAACGCAAAATTTAAAAAAATTCTAAGATTATTAAATTACGTAGATCGAAATGTAAATCGCGATGGAAAATTTCGGGGATTAAATATTTTGGAAATCAGAATAATCTCTGTAGATTCAAACTGGCGCGGTAAAGGGGTTGCCAAAGCGCTTATAGAAAAAACACTGTAAGTTTTGTTTTTTTCATTAATGAAATATACATGAATGAAGTAAAATGAATCATAATTATATCAATTTATATGTATATGTATGTATACATATGCTTTAATGAAATTGAATGCTTATATTATTGAAGTATTACATATTAAGTTGATATTAATTATATATGAATATCTCATAAAAATATTTTCTTTATAGTGAAATTGGAAAAGAGAAAGGCTTGCATATTTGTCGTGTCGACTGTTCGTCCTATTTTTCCGGAAAACTTTGCGCGCGACTTGGTTTTGAACAAATATATGAACTTAATTATGCAGATTATGTAGATGAAGATGGTAATCCTATATTTTCTCCAGCATTTCCACATACAGCAATTGTTACGTACATTAAGAAACTGTGAACACGATAGACATAGAATCAAGAGTACCTGTTTATAGAGAATTGAAAATGATTTTTAAAAAAACGCACTTTTACATTTACATTTTATTTTTCTTTTTCGAATTTACGAAAATGTTGTACAGTTATTTTTTTCTAATGTTTCTTTAATTTATTTATTACTTTTGTACAAATTAAAATGTAATATGATTATAATACAATTATTTGCTCGTGATGTTATAATAATGAATCGTGCCAAAATGCTAGCAATAATATTTTAATATATAACGCGCACGTTAATAAATATGATTGCATTAAACTATAAATGAATATTACATTATTAGAAATGTAAACATATATATGAGTTACATGTTTTTGCTTTGTTGGATATTTCTAAAATATATATGAATTTGTTATTATTCTATGTAATGAATTTATACACGAAAATAAAGATAGCATGATTTGATATATATAAATAATTTGGAATATTTTCGATTTTTTAAATAAAAGTTTTGTTCATATAATAGAATGTAATAGAATAATAGATATTTAAAATGAAGATCACAAATATAGAATCTTATAAAGCAAAATAATAGATTTGTTTTATAATATATATATTAATTTCTTTTTATACATATTTATATATATATATTTTTTATATATATTTTTAAAATTATTTACATTTAAAACTATTCTATCTAAAAAAATATTTTCTAATTTGTACACAATTGTAACATATTTTTTATTTATTTTTGCAATGCAAATATATTTCTATAAAAACAAATACAAACATATAATTCTATAAAAAATAGTTTTTAAAACTAGTTTTACTACAATAAAATATAAATAAATACATTTGGATTATGTATTATGTATCATCTACAGATATATTGTACTTTTTAACCAATTTATCAAAAATTTGTACTTTTTCTTCAAATGTTTTATTTTCAAATATTTTCATATTTTGTTCATGTTCCATTTGAATTTCAGCACTTTTTTGTAATGCTGCATTTTTATTATGATCTGACCATGAAATAACACGCATTATTTGAAAAAATATTCCTATAATTATAAGAAACATACAAAAGATAGTTGTTTTTTTTTTATTTTTTTCATAATTTTCTTTCTCATCTGTTGAATAATATATGTTACATGCATGATAATATTGATCATTAAATCTGAAAATATATTTTATATATAATATAAATATAATTATAATAATATATAATTATAATAATTTTGTTAAATAAATAATCATTGAAAAGAAATGTTAAAAAATATACCTAGTGTTTTGATAAAAATTGTTTGTATGAATATTATTAGATTTTAAATCAATATCATAAATATGTTTACTTTGTTCATTACTTAAAATATTATATGCTTCATTTAATTTTACAAAATCATCATGATTTCCAGTATTATTATTATCAGGATGCAACTAAAAACATATTGAAAATATATTGAAAATAAAACATTACTTGCTTTTGTAATATTTTGTAAATACTTATAAGATTAAAAGAATGGCTCACTTGTTTTGATAATTTAATATAGGCATCTCTTATTTCTTTTTGAGATGCATTTGGAGATATTTGCAATTCTTCGTAATAAGTACATTTACATCTTTAATAAATACACTAATAATTAATTCATATAATTTAATTGATATATTTAAATACAATATTTTTAAATTCTAACCTTTGTTGATTATATTTTCTACAGAAAACACGAATTAATATAGGTATTTCAATTTTGTATATACGAAAAATTTTATCCATCTTTTTTAAATCTTTCCCGCATACAATCGTAAATTTAAAAAAATTAAGATTAATTTAATATGTCACATATTAAACACTATTATGATTTTGTATTAATAAAAATACAATAAAATAAAACTGACATTGTATATAATGTAATAATAATATATATTTTATATATATATATTGAATTATACCAATCTTAAAATTATATAAAAATTATAACTAAAATTTTATAAGTTTTAATTCAAAATTTTTTACATACATTCAAAATAAGAAAAAAATAATAGTTATATAAAAATTATTATTTTATCTTTTAATTTTTTGTTTATAATAATGATTAATTTTATTATGTTTTTTTTGAAATTAGTGTTTTAAAAATAAAAATATTTTAAAGAAATTAAAATATAAATTTTTAAAACTATAAAATAAATTATCAATTCGTAATGATATATTTCGATATTGAAATTTATATTAAAATTTATAAATATTCACATTTTTTTTAATCTTAAAATAAAAATTAAAAAAGAAACTACAAAATTCATGAATTAAATATTTATTAAAAACCAAACTCAGATTTTATATAATAACAATTCTCATTTGTGTTTGGTACAGTATAAAATATATTACAATATGTATACAAGAAACATTCTTAATTATATATATAAGATAGGCCTCAAGCCCAGCTCGATGTCTATGCATTTCAGGCTTATCATATGTAATTTATGCAATATATGTTATGCGTTTTGTATAAGCTCTAGTATTATCAAAAAATTACATATACATAATTTATATTGCATATTTTATGTACAAATTGTACGTTACAATGAACAATAATGCAAGCCCTTATTAAAAAATATGAGATTAAATAATAATGTAAACATTTTATTCATATATTATAAAAATTGACATATTATATAGATTTATTGGCTTGTCATTATAAATAATACTTCAAGAATCAAGTGCATTGGCACAAATAACTTTTATCTATATTGCATATCAATTGAATCTATTTTATACCTTATAAATGCATTAGGTAAAAAACATATATTCAGTTTGCTAAAGATTCGCAATTTAATACATTAATACAGTCACATTCTAATAAAATCTCTTATTAAAATAACGATTAAAATTTTTAACTTCAATCAAAATATATAAAAATTTTTATAATTATATCGCTTTGCATTTTTAATGTTTTTAAATGTTTATATTATTAGTTTAATTTGTAAGAAGATCGTAAACTTATTCAAAATTTTCTATAATATTTACGAATATTTATATACGGTCTTCTTAAAATTCAACATACATATATGTATGTGCATATAGGCAATAATAGAATAACTCGCTTTTTGTCTCACGATTCATAATAATTTATGAGAATTAAATTTGTCACTTACTAGTAGTAAAATATATATATACGTGTTATGAAGTTTTTACTGTTTTTAACAATTGAAATATGAAGGCAAGTTATTTCTTTTTCGAGCAATCTGAATGTTTTCAAGATCACTACAAATTTAAAGTATATTTTTATTCATTTTTATTTTCTCTTAAAGGGACGTTTGAATATTTTGGAAAATCTACAGCATCTACTGGATTTTTAACTTTAAAACTAGGAAATAATCCCGTCATACTAGTTCTAATATTATATCCTTTAGAATAACCATCCCAATGATTTCCAAGAACTTCAATTAAATCTCCTATTTTTAATTCGATTTCACCATCTTTTCTTGGTTTATGATCTAAAATAACTTGATGAGGATGTGAATTTTGACCACCATAATAATAAATATCATCCAATGATGCAAAACGATTATAAGCATCTGGATAATATGTTTGCATTAATTCATATGCTACGCGGCATACTTGAGAACTGAATGTACACACCAAATAATCACATTCAGATAAAAGATGTATATCAATAATTATTCCTTGTAAAGAAGAATCTGAATATCGCTTTGCAACTGAAGCTGTCTCTGCTATTTCTGGATCTGCTATTATCTCATAATTAGAATAACGATTTCTCGCTGTTGTAATTACTTTCGGATCATCGCTTGCTAAAAAAACTCTTTTCACTTCTGGTTTCGTTTCAAGTTCATCAAAATATTGGTCAACTTTAATCATATATTCATCTATATCGTGATAAGCAGCTTCAGTACCAACTTTATCAGTTCTGCGTACATGAATTCCAACAATAGGTTTCTTGAAACCAAGCCTTTCTTTGGCATCATCTAATGTTTTTTTTACATGTTCTTGAGGTCGCATTAAATATTTCAAAACTTGACCTACCCACCATACTAGAGGATGGCCATGAAGTTTTTCTAATCTTGATGCTAAATCAGCTGGTACACTTGGTGGTTGATATCTTGGTTTTGGATAAACATTATCTACAATTGGCAAGGAGATGACTTGTTTAGAAGAGTCACCAGGCCAATTAGCATGTGATGCTCCATTTGTAGATACACATGTATCACTAAGTGGTTTAAAAACTGATTCCCAACCATCCTTATGATACCTCCAACCTTTAGATCTAATTATTAAAGTTCTTTCTGTACCATAAGCAACCAAAAAGCAATATGTAATATGATGAATCTAAAATATATAATTAATTTATTCATAATGTTTTATATATATATATATAATATATATATTATTTACCTGACAACCAAATCCACAACCTTTATTTAAACTGCAAATCAATTTTTTTGCTTTATTACAATCACTAGGATTTTGTAAATATTTGAATCTTCTTTGTACAAGATCAGATAATTCTTTTGCTTCCTTTTTACGCCATTCATCATAACCATCTGCTTTTGTTAATCTATCAATGTCTATTGTAAGAGATTTTTTATGATCCCAAGTATTTTTTAATGTATCTTGTATTCTTTTTTCTCTTTGATCATAATTAAGTTTATCAATACCTTTTCTAAATTTGCTTAATTCTGCATTAATATAATACCTATTTAAAACATTATTATATTATTATATTATATATATTCCTATTTTTTTATATATAAAATGATAATATATATTTTATTTTTTAACATTATATTTACCACATCTCTTGAACATTATTTCTTATTCTTCGTCTTAATTCTTCATATTCAGAAGAAGGAATACCATGTTTTACATTATCTTGATGATCCAACAAATCTTCATAAATAGAAACTTTTTCAAGTTTTTCTTGTATTGAACCTAAATGATCTCCTTGAATAGATTTTGATCTTTCTCTGGAAATTATGTTATCCTGTACAACCAAAAGATCACAATGCTCTTTGTTTTAAACTTCAAATAAATCTGTCTATTTTTATAATTTTTATTATAAACTTACCCTAAAACTATATTTTTTAATGCTTCATTTTGTCTTTTAAGAATTTCAAAATCATTAACCATTTGGGCTAAACGTTGAGCATTTTCTTTATTTGTAGGACTTTCATTATTAGACGATAAATTATTAGTTTTAAAGATATGTGATACTGATATTATTAATATCAAAAGCCATGTAGCTAATAATGCTAATCCTACTTTTCCTAACCAACCAGGTCTTCCTGACCAAAATGTTGCCATTTTATATTGTAATAATAGTATTATGACATTTAATCAATTGCATTACGTCATCTATAAATATAAAATTATCATTCCTTTAATGAAAAATTTTATGAGATAACAATTGTTATATAACAAAAATAAAATATTTATATTGTAGCATAATATTCTGTAGTAATATAAAAGATTTACTTAAATTCTTTTATTAAGTAATTAAGAAATAGTTATTATAAATATAATTTCATAATAATAATGCAAATTATTTTTAATAAAGTTAATAAAAAATTATGTACGTATAATTATGGCACACATAATTGAAGTTAAAAAAGAAATAAAATAACAGTACAAAAAATATTATAAAGTTATTAAAAATTAATATTAACATAAATAAATAATGTTAACGAATTAAATAAAAATCAATCTTACCGAATGCTTTCACATCTCTATAAAAATATTTGAAACATGGAATAAGAAACATTTGTCATTATTAAAGTAATCATAGGAACAAATTCTTTAGATCAAATTTGCTTTCATATGCGGCTACAGTCATTAAACACTGTTTCATGTGGCAAGCTTCAGCAGTATGAGTTATAATCTATATATATTATGAGGAGTTTGCACTGAAATAGAGTTAGGAATTTTAACCAATAGCTAGATTTTATAATATTAGAATACAATTCTCATGAATAAAATTAATATTATACTTATTTTTTTCATTAAATAAATTATTTTTATAAAATGTAAAATTTATTTTATTTAATAATATTTCATATATATTTTCATATTATTTTTAAAAATAGATAATTATATTATGATTTGAAAAATTAATGATATAAAATATTTGAAAAATTATGACATAAAATATTACAAATGCAAATAACTTAGTAATGAAATAAGTTTAAAATGTGAATGTTATGTTAGATGGCGGTAAAAATGGTACGTTTAATTTTAGTATGAAACACTGCAATCTATTTATTTCATGCATAATTTTATAGTTAACCTAAAATCTTGACATTTTAAGTACAGCATTGTGTAAATGTGAATGGACGATTAACGCCAAACAAAGTCCACAAACTTTTGTTTAAACGTTATTTTAAAGTTATTAACAAATTGATTATTAAGGTGAAAGCAAAAATTAAATCAAAAAGTAACGGGTAGGAAAAGCATAAAATTGACAGAAATAACGTATTGGGTTATATCGTGTCGCAGTATTTCTAAACGCGGGTTGGTTCTTTATCCTCCCCTCCCCTCCTATCTTCTGAATCCCTTCCGAAAATCGCGCAGCATCCTTGCGCGCGAAACACGCGTATGCCGGTGGACGCACATTGTGTGCCTGTACGTCGATGTACATACTTGTGAATAGTGTATTTTAAGTTTTAGTTTTACGGGATGCATGTATGAAAAAGCAACTCGTATATAATAGTCATAAAAAGATTAAATAGTATAAAAAGAAACGAAAGTTATTTGTCAATTGATCGTGAGTATAGTCATCACAGTTAGACGTGAAATTTGTACGTACATAAATCGAAAAAAGAACATTATCATTATTGTACCTGCTATTGGTTTGGGGAAAAGAATTTGTAGTATTAACGACAATACAAAGAATATAATTTTGTGAATCTTTCGCTTCCTCCCCTCTACTTTCCTACCCCTAATTCCCTCTCGCCCGTTGATGAACAAGCAGTTGTCGTTTTTTGCATGTTTCACTTTTTTTCTCCGGCATCCCTTCAGTTTCGTTCATCCGTCGCAGAAGCGGTTGTGCCGTTTAATAAAACTCGAGAAGTCGTATAGTCTAAGTTACGTCCATTCGACAATTCTCTTTGTGTTCTTGTTTTCCGTGTCCGACAGTGTTGTCAAAATTCCGGCAGCACCGTTGTCTCAGCTGCCATTGCTGTACTGTCTGGCGTTCAATCGTAGCTTCATAAATACGATTCTCTGGTGACTATTCTCGTTATCATCATCTTTCTCATCGTTGTGAAAATAATGAAGATATCACATTGTTAAGAATTACACGTAGAACATGCTCGCAGAACAGACATAGCGGATGATTCTACCTTCAGCTCCAGACGCCGGTTCTGAGTGAGCTAACCTTCACAAAGTGAGGGTACTTCTTATCTGTTTGATCATCGTTCATCGAGCTTGAAGCAGTGCTACAAATTGACAGAACGATGAAGTGGCTCGGTGCGAGTAGCGCTGGTGCTGCGGGTGAACCGGCACCTTCTATGCAATTACACCACCCTTCTGCAAATGGACATATACCTACGGTATGTACTTATTTTAATTTTTTTTTGTATTTTTCTATCATATAATTAATATATGTCGTAAACCATTTTAATATAACAATGTTTTATTCGTCAATCAAAAATGTCATAACCTATCATTTTGTTTTTTTATAATATTATTTTATGTTTTGTAAAATATTTCATTTCATATGATAATTTAAAAATTGATTGTGTTTATTTCATTTTTATTTATTATATCATTAGTTATGCAAGAATTTCTATTCTATTGTTGAAAAATAAGAAAAAGATTTTTTATTGTACATATGCATGAGTATTGCATATGCTTATGCTTTGTTTGATCCATCATGGCAGATTGTTCTATAGAAATGAAGATGTTTTGGTTGCATTAATCAATTTAGTTATTCTAGTGAAATAACAAATAATCTTGCATATTCTACTCATTTCTTTGTATTGTATAAATTTAATAATTTTATTATATATATTTTAATATCAAAAAAATTTTTTTGTTTCTATTATTTTTTAATTATTATTTTTTAATTAAATATATATATATATATATATATATATATATATATATTTAAAAGCATATCATAATAAATTAAACAATAATATATTTTATTTTATATGGATTAATTTTTAATATTTTTATAATGAAAATTTGAATGAATTTATTATAATACTCTACTTACTATAATTTACTATAATACTATAATACTTCTTGTTTGCACATAAACTAATAAGTAATAATTATAATTTTTTGGAGTATTATATATTATCCAAAAGAATGTGTTAATTAAAATCTATATGGATTTTATGTATAAAAATTACTATTAATCAATTATAAATATCAATTTAATATAAATATAATAATATAAATATGATAATAATAATGAAGAAAATGGAAATAATTTTTTATTAATAGGATGCAGAGCAATGTGGTCAAGTAATGGCTGGTGGTGACAGTATGCGTATACAACCTGGTCAAACGCATCAAATAGGTGTGAACAGAACTCAAGATGATGCTATGGTGGGTTATGTATTTCAACGACCAACAGAAGCAGAATTTAATGCTCAATCTTCAACATTTCAAACAAAACAAGCACCTCGTGCTTGGGCTCTTGCAGATGATGCTATTATTGATAATGTAAGTAAACTAAACATTTAAAATCAAAATATATTACATGTACAACATACACATACACAATTGTTTAAAAAAATTATTAAATTTGTATTTCAATACTTTGAAAGATAAGTAGATAATAAATAAATAATTTTATAAATAAATATATATCTATTTTTTTATTTGATTGTTTAAATAATTTTTAGAATCCAGAAAAATGGAAATATCCCATTACTAAACTGAGTGTACCACAACAGAATCAACCTCAACAATTAGGTCTACAAACTATGAATAATGTTCATCTACCTTATGAAATCCATCCAATGCAACTTAAAGTAAGTTATATATTTCTTAATATTATTATTAATAGAACAAATTTTTTTTTATTTTGAAATTTGGAAATTAATAGTTACATTTTTTATGCCGCACAGAGTGGAGCACCAGGAACAGAACATTTAGTTTATCTTAATAATCAAATGACAGCACAACAACAAGTTGCTCTCTTTCATCATCAGCAACAACAACAACAGCAACAGTTCAGGAATGGCCAGGTAAGCATATTTCTTATGAATTATTTTAATATTTTAAAATTTTTAATAATAATAAAAAATTATAAATAGATTTGAAAATAAATCTGTTGAATTCTAATATTTTTTTTAAATGGATAAATTATTTTTATTAAATTATTAATAAATTAAACAATATATATAAATATATATAATATATATAGATATATATTTAATATATATTATATATATTATATTATTTTATATATTATATGTAATTATATATTATATTATATATATTATATATATAATATGTACAATGCATTGAAATATGTAATTTTTTTTTATTATTCATTTTTATTATTCATTCTATTAATAATTATATATTGATATTTATTTTTCCGCTATATAGCTTAATTTAAATAAAATTTAAATAATATATAAAATCTTAATATATTAATTATATTATTTATAATCTTTTATTATTATATATCTTAAAATATTATTAAATATTAATATAAAAAAATTTTTATTTTAAATGCATATACATATATATAAAATATTTATATGCTTATATTTATATTATATTTATTTTAAATATTTATATATAAAATCTAAATATATTATTTATAATTTTTTTTATTATATATCTTAAAATATTATTAAATATTAACATTAAAAAATTTTCATTTTAAATGCATAAAAAAAATATTTTTTTTATATATAGAGAGATTTCAAAGTTTTAAATAATAAAATAAAATAATTTTGTACTTCTTAAAAATATAAATTATTCGAGATATATTTAATATGTTTTAAAAAAATATATTTAATAATTTAAAAATATTTAAAACATTTTCTACTAATTCATAATTCCGTATAATTATGCATTATTTTTCGATCGAAATAATTTATTGTAAATTTTATTCTAATTATTATTTATATAATTAGAAAATTAAACTAAAATTAGATTATTAAAAATAATATATATCATTGAGATTGATGGTAATAATTAATAGTTAAAAATTATTATATGTTAATTTTCTCGAAAAATAATGTTAGGATCAAAATTTAACAATAATAAGTAATAGTTTTTAATTATTTGAAAATGAATTGAAATGGAAAAATTTATTTATTTAAAAGGATATTATAAAAGGGAGCATAAGTGCTTCTATTTATTTTATAATTTTTCAAGAAAATATGACTACATTTTTTTAATATTTATTTTAGATACGAAATATTGCTTTATAATATTTTATATTTTATATATTTTACATAGAAATTTTGCTCTAATTAATTTTTTATACAAAGTTCATTTTTTAAATTCATTTTTAAAGTTCATTTTGCTTATTTTTTTATTGAAATTTATTTTTGTAATTGTTTTGCTAATGATTAAATTGCATAAAAATTTATTTCTTTTAATAGATATAGTTCTTTTGAATATCAATAGAATATTTGTAGAGAATATTCATAAAGAACAAAGAAATTTTTTTTATATTTTAACGTAAATATTTTTAATTTTTAATTTTAATATATTTTGAAGAATAATTTATACGTAATACATAAAAAAATATATATATTTGTCATCAAAATCATATTATATTGCATGTACACAATTTTTGAAAATTTAACAATACACATTACATTTGAGATACAATTGTCCTTCATT